CTTCTGCTTATCCAGCTTAGGCTTCCAGAGACTCTACATTTAATGATTACATTTTGTATATACACACGACAAAATTTAAGTTAAACCGACTAGATGAGAGCGACATTTCATATCTCCAGCACAACAACTCTGAGACTACATTGAGAAAAAATATCAAAAATAATTCCAAATCCGCAATCTCTTTACGACAAAACAAATAAAAAACATATGCAATAAAAATAAAGCACCTTTACAATACTACATACATATGTAGTAATACTAGATAGTATTCTATATTCATTGTATTTATCATGAAAGCTACGGAATATATGGTTAAAGGAAATTATAAACACTGAATGCACTATCTATTACACACGCTAATTAACTGTTTAACAAAGGAACGGAAAATAACGATCTTCCAACAGATATAACTATCACCAAGTAATTAAGATCGAGCCGCTATTTATAACAGTTATCAACGTATTTTATTTTAACGGACTTTGTGCCAAAAGGAAATGATAACAGGAAATTAAATAATATGCGAGTTTTATGTAAACATCATCGCGTGGATTTCGCTCAACTTTTACGCAAATTTTATACGAAAATAGTTGTCAGAGATCGCGGTACAGTTTGCGTCAGTTTTATGTATTGTGTTGTCACAAATCTAGATTCGGTACTGCTTAGTAAGTTTATCATATGTATATGAAAATGTTTATTACCAAAAAAATAATATTATTGTGTACGCAAAGGGATACAAATCAACGCAGAGTAAGCAAAATGACAAAAGATAATAAGTTTGGATTGTTCGTTCAGTCTAGAAGCCTCAATATCACTTTGATCTTAATGAAAATCTTTTAATTAGTTGGTTGTGACAGACAACCCTTATTTTATTGAAAATGCAATTCAATTCTAGTGCAAAAAAGCTAATTTCGAATAAAATATAGCGTTCAACACAAATCTAGATAGATCCATAACCTTTACTCCGACGTACCAATACCAATAATTACATCATTGTTCACAAAAAAGGGCAAGAAATTCCCAATGTTCGTTCAAACAAAAATACACCTAAAATTAACTGAAATGTCAGGGTTATAAGCTGAGATTCCTTTGTAAAGTCACAAGGAATATGTTATTAAATATGAACCGAATTCATTGATCTATTATGCTCCGGTGTTCTGACATTGAAAATGATAATAGCTGAAACGTGACTCGTCCCGAATTGTAAACAGATTTGACAGACAGATACTCGGTGAATCAAATCTTCACGAACTATTAACTTAAATGGACACAATGTTTTTAATTAACAGTGTTGTTATACAACTCTTATGTAGTTAACGAGTTGGATCAATAAATAGAATTATTTTTTTCTTAGTCTTGCAATCTGTATACCTACACAGTTGTTTGGTAAGCAAGTAGGTACGAAAATAAATATTTTTTTTAGCACAGAGACTACTTTTTTACTTTTTTCTTAATGATGTTTAGCTTGTTTCCAGATGAACGGTAAAAATATACATTTGTGGTGTTTGCAAATATTCCGTTCTACATACCTTGTTGTTATAGGGAAGGAAGCTTGTCGTTTTGGGACATTAAGTGGGGGATAAAATTGACCAGACATTCTCCTCATTAAACTACACTGCAAACTTTTCAAAACAGTAAACTAAACATTTGGCGGTTACTCCAGAGTCTATAATTTAGTTAATAAAAGTAACATCCACTGAAAGTGAAAGAGATTGATAAATAAATTATACTACACTACTATATAAATAGGTAGTGTACCTATGTGTAGTAGTGTAGTATAATTTAGTAATCAATATGTATAAATCGTTGTCTAGTCCTTAAACAACACTTTTTGAGATTTTGCAAGACACTAAAACTAATATTTTAAATTATCTAAGTTCTCTTAACTTGCTGAAGCTGTACATGAAATTAAGAAAAGTGATATTAGAAAAGGAAATCTGTTAACTTCAAATAATCGACATAAAGGCAGGCAAAGGATAAATCTGGAGCAACGATTTTTGTTTTCTTACAAGAATTGTCTACATGAGATACATCCAAAACATGTTGCGTGTACATATATTAGAAGCTAATCGAAGTTTATCTCGCTTTGTCACCGAAGTCGTGACGAGATCAGCCTTCGAACAAACACTCTAGATAAATTAGAATACAATAGACCTACAGCTTACGGGTAATTAATATGCGAATAGGACCCGATGCTTACCCAAAACACTATCGAAAATAAATACGTACCGAAGTTACAATTAGGTATATTTTACAACTCCAAGTCACGTAGTATTTTAAATTTTCTATATGTAAATACGTGTAACGCACGTGAAAGGAAATAATGTAAGTAAAGATATATATTTAATGTAAAAAGACGTGCATTTATTTTCCTGCCTTTACTTTTACATTAATACATATATATTTATTTTCCGCTAGTTGATTATGTGCAGTTTGTTATTCGGAAAATCATTATGAGGTCTGCCGCCGCGCCCTGTTACGAACGACCAGCGTGCTTATTTTGTTTTTGTCACGCACTGAAATAAACTGTTGATTTTTAGTTTGTTATAGGTACTTAAGTACTTATTTTAATATTAAACAGACTTACGAGTAGAGCAATGAACACCTAATAACGTAAGGTTAATGTTTAATCTGTGGCTTTTCCCGCGTGGTGATGATTTTTCATGAAACATAGCCACTGTTCTTTTCTGTTTCGCATTTATAATAAGCATAAGTTTAGATTTATCCGCTTGGAATTATGGCGCAGACGCGGTAGTGTTTAACGTTTCTACATGAATGAAATTTTACGTTTCAAATGTTGTGTAGCAATTCTTATGACAGTAACAGTATGTTGGAACACCGTAATACCAGCCTAGGTAGCATTGATTACCGCGTCATGTCATCTTCAACCCGTCAAAGTTGTGGCGGTCGAGTGTCGGATCGGTTACATCGGCGAATGTGGAGCCACGAAGCAGTCGTGATCAATTCACCTAACGCCTGCCGGATGACGTAGCGACCGCAAAGAACATGCTTCACTTGCCCAACCACACCTAATATATCACAACGCTTCTAACATAACACCCAGTAAAAACGTCCTGTCGGAACTACACGAATCATTAAATCATATTCTTTTGTATACATTAAAATTCCACCCGTTTTTTGCGTGCTCACTGATTTATTATCGCGATCAAATGATTAGGTTCATGCATTGCTACATTATCTGGTTAGACAATATGCCTTGTTAAATATTATTCCGATACTGCCGGCAGCGAACGATGAGAAATCATAGCTTAAAGAAATTCATTAATATTAAAGACGCAAATGATTAATTCATATATGTATAATTTTCGTAATGACAAAGGACAGTGGAAGTGTTAAACAAATCTTTGTTTAGTATGGAATCAATTTTCACCATTGAGCTGATGACCTTCTTTCCTAAAACTTGTATTCGGGATTGTAGCCTGATTACGCACACCTTGACCCACGTCGACAGCCGTGACATCGAACCTGTTTCGATCTCTCCACATGTCGAGCCGATCATGAAGGCGACGTCACTAGCAGCTGCGGTGCAGCCTACCGTACTGACGACGTGACGCTCGGTTCGCGCCGACGGAACGCAAAAACTAATGGGGACGAATACCTTTCCCAGCAATCATCTCACCGTATCTAGTTTATGAAACAAAAATGTGAGAAACAAATTAAGTCGCTTGTTCGACGACACGATTTGAACGCTGACGATGATTGCAATCTAACACAATAAGGATTATATAAGAATGAACGCCGGCGCTACGTAGCCCGTTTTAAAATCGCGAAGGTTAATAACATTAGGGTAAATACCCATGAAGGCGAGCCCAGGACCAGTAGGAACAATAGTGAACGCGAAGCCTTGATGGACAACTAATGAGTGCTGAGTGGGTATGGCATGAGTGGAATGTCACAGGCGCACGACATGCCCTTCTGTGACACACCACGGTGGATTGAGGAATTCAATGGAGGCTGTGACTAGTGGGTGCCATACACCGCAATTATTTCTAAAAAAGTAAAAATCAGAATAAATTTTTAAAAAGAAAATGTAGAAACTTTAGAAAATGTTTCATCATTGATTCGCTAAAAGAATTGGACTCTACAATTCGTCGCGTGCCCAGTACATCCGTCACACACATGTGCGGAGTACAGACGGTCTATTAGATATTGCAACATCGGTGATTGTTGACCACAGGTGTACAGATTTTACACAATTTCCATATTTAGGTGAGATAAAAATTGCGATCACGAATACGCATGTTCTACACGGTTACTTTATCCAAGATACCTATAATTTGCGCAATCTAATTTGCATGTAAACCGTTCTATTGTTTATGAAGTTCACACAAGTGTCTTTTAAGAGCTTTCGATAAATATACCACTTATTCTGTTAAGTAGTATTAATGGTAATAATGTAAGTGTCCTATATTAATTGATCTCACTTCATTGAAAAGTAACAGTCATTGTATTTACAAGAAAAATAATATTCAAAAGCTTCCTAATTGTGTCATAGGTTAATAATAAATAATTAGCGAATTTATATACACAGCACGCTATATTAATAATAGCGTGCAGAGAAAAAGCATATACCTATATATTTACTATTATCTAGATTTTTCCAAAATCAAAACTAGTTTCTAACATCAAAACATCCAAATAATATACGCAAATGCAAGGTAGAACTAGTTTTATACCAACGATTTCGTAACTACAATATCTAAAAGTTTAGAATAAAGAGGATCGTAGTATTAAAACCTGCAAAATAAATACAGTAGTGTTGCCCAGTAGTCCTGGTAAATAATTTAATCCATGCCACTGGCCGCAAAGACTGGTTCAATGTAATAACTACAAAAAAGTAAAAAACTTCCCCGGCTAACCGACACGGATGTTAGCCGGTTTCACGCATTTTCTTGTCAACGATGGCACAAGATAAACTGACAAAATGTAATCGCTTCTTGAAATTACAACAAAAAATGTAACAAACCAATAAAAAGACTTACCTTAAAAACAATTCGGTCCTTCTCCATTTTTATTTTATTTCCTTAGTCTAGAATCGTCAGTTCTGTAACAAGCAAAAACATTATAACGTAATAAATATCAAACAAGCATTTAGTTTAGGAAATAGCTATACATATGTAGACAAATATTTAAAAAATAAAATACCTACTACTAAGATATCTAAAAGTATTATTTAAAAATAGATATGTATTTAAATCAAAATTTGCCCAAAGGTCAACCAAATTATACCAACTTAATTACGATGTTTTTCAAATTCCATTTGTTTTCGTAAATTGATAACTTAATAATGTAATTCGTTTAATTAATTTAATGATTAGCTCTATGTATTATTTTATCAATGCATGTATTTTAAGTTATGTAGTATTTGTCATACATAATAAACCACAAAAAAACCGTGTATTATGCTTATCGAAGCCACAAGATAAACATCTATGGACATGTCAAGTTAGCTTGGAATCAATTAATAAATACCAATCAATATACAACTTGACAGCTGATATTTTTGTTAAACAATTTGTTATTTTTAATTATCAGTACGTTTTTTTGCCTAGGACTGCCTTAGTTAACATTGAATGGCTTCAATAAACCTTATCTAGATTCGTCAAGAACATATGTGTATGGTTTTTGCGAGACTTTTTAAGGCTTTTCCATCATACTAAACTCAAACAATCTTTGTAATGTGGTCGAATGTCGATCACTTGATAATCCTAGATCCAATAATAATTACGAATTCAAAACTATAAGCTCACGTAATACTTAATCTTAATAATAAAGTTTCACGGATTAATAGCCAGTAATAAACCTCTATAAAAATCCGATTGCATTGCATACAGACGTTTTGAACATCACGACTCTATAACAAGACTTGTTTAGTTACTTCTCAAATAGATGCTCGCAACTAACATTAAACTTTGAACCTTACTTCGTTAAAAATCTAACATTCTATACTTGATGATATTTATTATTTAAATATATTACTTATTCTATGCATTATGCTGTTTTATGTTATAAGTTGAAAACAAATATCGTCAAATTTTATGCCTTTGATTTTGACACGGATAGATAATATTTTAATGAATATTGCTACACTCGGCGAAGCTATAAAATTGTTAAGTCTGTAAGTGTTTTGTGTCATCTGTTATTAATAACATAAAACGCTATTAAGTTGGGCAAGTTTATGGGAAACAATAACTTTATGAAAGTTGTTACTTCGCGTAGTAGTCACGTAGTGTACGCGTAGTACGTGCGTAGTAGCTGCGTAGACATTTCGTAGAGCACCTTAATTATCGTATTTGCAGCTATTTTAGCTTTATATGTATTATAATATGTATTAATAACATATTAATAAGACTCCAGACTTACTCCACATTTAAATAAAACTAACTAAGTTGAGGACTATTTAAACTTCCCACGGCATTACAAGCAGTGGAAAGTAATTAATCCCAGCATAGATTATATAAAACGGTAACGATGCAACTGATATTTAAGTACTGAGAGGTTTCTTAACTACTAATTAAAATCTCGTATGCGTACCACCAGCGCGCGTGACTGGACCAAAACCATTGCGCTTAGCACTGCTTTAGTAAAGCAGATCAGATTTTTTATGAACAATAAAAACTTATTCGGACATCATCATTATGACACCGCCACGATTTGGGCGGTTAAGTGATGCCTTAATTCAATTGTCGGAAAGCAAACCTAATAATTGGTCTTGGTGCTTCATTATTGGGAATATTCTCACAGTCGAAAAAAGAAGAATTTGAAAGCTTCTGATTGAACCAAGTGTGAAACCTCCAATTGGATTGGATTGGTTATATTAATATGAAGGTACAATTGTTCATTTTTTGTTGCAGATTTTTATGGTACAATCGTACATTTTTGATTTTTGATTGATTTTAATAAGTATTCAAGCCTGCTTTAAAAATGATAGTTTGTGACCCTGGTTGTTCTTTATTTGTCACTTGTTATACCTAATTCACATCTGAAAACGGTTACCTACTTTAGAATCAGATAAGTAAGTAATAAAAGCAACAATCACTTAAAAAAACATCTTACAGACAAAAAATACTTATCACGATTTGTAAAGACAGACCGGCACTTTTTGTAATTTATATTTCCATTGAAATTATGGATCTTAATCGTACTATTGAAAAACAGACTAAAAAAGAACAAATAAGAACTACCTATTAAGTTCCTATACTAAATTACATTATTTCAAAGGAAAATGATGGTTACAACAATTACAAGCCGTCGTTTAATAGGTACATAGATACTATATCTGTATGAAGACGTTGCAGAGAAAGTGGACGGTGCACGGTGCACGTTCTTCCTGCAAGTTTCTAACGACTTCAATTATATTATTGTCTGGTGTGTACTTAACTATACGCGTATTGTACCATTATAAACTTTATGCAACTAACAACAATCTTGGTAATTCTGTGGAAGCTCCTGCACTCTTTAGTTAAGATGATAAGCCATTTAGAATATAATCATACGTTTTGCGGAGGGGAAGGCGTAAATTATCTAATGACTTCTGAGGATATGGACTTTCTGATGAGGGAGTATCCCTGTTCCTTCTCTTACTCCAGGCCGAGGCTGCAGCACCTCATTGCGCATGACCCGCAACCCCGGCTGAACATCAGCCCTGTTGGACCACATCTGTGGCATATTATTATACCTGATGAGTTAACCTGACATAAGAAATAATCTGAGAGTCGAGACATTAGGATATTCTCCTATGCAGACAGCCAAATTGCAATTCAAACATTCATTATTTATCATATGCTCATTGAAAAAAATAACAATATTTACAATTGATCCCTCGAAAATATTTTAATTATTTCACAACATTATTGTACGATCTATGGTCTAATAGGTACTTATGTACTTACTTACTTTACATATATATTATTCCCAATATATTAATTGATCGTCCACATCTAATAGAAATGCATCTCTTTAGTTTAAATTGAGGAGCTATATTAAAAGTGTTGTATTTTCTTTCATTTTAGAGCTACTGAAGCAAAAAATTATTTATTTAGACGGTAATATGCAAAGTTTCTACTAGATGATACAACATTTTCATAAATATTCATTTATTATTTAACGAGTTCCAGGTGGCTCCTCAATCCAGATGTTTACATTGAGGAGCCACCTTTTCATTAAAATAACTAGTGATATATTTTGCTGCTAAATCCAGCATTCGTGCTGCAAAATAGGCAAAATTACTGCAAAATAATGGTGTGGCTCCTCAATCCTTACGTACATCAACATTTTAATGGCTAACTATCTTTATTGGCAATTCATCAAGATTACAACTTGGTCCAAAGAACGTTAGCTAAATTTGTGCCAAGTAGAACTTTGGCACATCACATGAAAATATTACACAACTTTGAGGTTAGTGCATAAGTATCAAGGGCCTTAAGACCAGGTCCAAGTATGCAGCGCGCTACGTTCCGCGCACTCGTCATAGAGACATCAATCCATACAGATGAGACAGATCCCTTAGGGCCGATGTTTAGCCGGGGTCGCGGTAGCAAGAAAAGGGAAAATAGTTCGTTTCAAAAAAGGAGAAGGAACGGGACGAATTTTAGCCAGTAGGTAAGTGTCTGTGTCAATGGATGATTTCTATTATTTTCCGTTATGAAAAAGGATCAAGTCTGTCAAGACTCGGACTGCAATTATTAAAACCGCAACAGATTCTTTAAACTGTGTAGTAACAATTTTCTTACACCTGAGTTATTACGGGGTACCTAAAACTTCCAAAGGTCTAGTTTTATGCGGAGAAAAGTTAAACAGTGTGAGATTATTAGCTCACTAAAATTACCCCAGAAACGTCCACCATCACTTATTATGGGGTCACATAGCATCGATACCTCTTTTTATGTGATATGTCGGCAAACAAGGATGAAGGTCCTTAACAATTGGAGATGGGAGAGGAAAAAAGTGGAAAGATGGATTATAGGATAGAGAGGAATTACGGCAGATCTCTAAAGTTTGTAAGTTTACAAGAACATAACTACAAGTATACCTAAATTAAATTATACACTTAATCCTGAACCAATAGATCTACGAATGTAACCTATGTAGTAGGTACTAGTAGGTGTCCACAGGCACAATGTAGCGAACCTCCTTAACTCTTGACACCTTTTGTACTATACACCTACATTGACGAATAAAAAGATTTGAATTTGTATTTGTACTTTCTTTCACTTTAATAGTTCTAAATATCCGTGTAACAACATAATTAGCTAGCTCTTGTTTCCAAAATATCCTCAGTAGGCGTTATCTAAGTAGGTAAGTACTTAGATACATCTGCAGCCGGTCGTTCGGAGAATCCGCTATGTCCAGCCTTACGTAACGCGATGTTACCGCCGATAATTGTGCAATGTCTAGCGATGTATGTATATACCTATATTTGTTGCTAACTGACCACTAAACTGTGACCTATATAAGTTATCTGAACTCTAATATTGTTCAAGTATACATCAAAAACAATGTAACGATAGATAAGTAGGTTTTACTAATTATTATTTACATTGTATGGTTTATTTTTAAATACTAATCGCTTATTACTTTTGTCTTAGGTAAAGTACATCCAAGTTAAGCATCTTGTATATAAACCAGATGAGTTTCATCATAGAATATTTTTACAGAAACAAATATATAGGTACGCTTCAACTAAGTTTCAATTTAATTGGCTATATCAAGACAGACAGCTGTTGGTGCATAGATTGAATTTGAGTGAAGGACTGACTGCTAATATTGCAAAAAGTTTCACAGATTGGACACCCACATGGAACGATGTGATTCATAAATCGATCTGCGTCTGTCTGTGTGATTTAATTCTTGTAAATGCACAAGAAAAAGTCGTAGTTTAAGACCATATTTTATGAAAAGAAATAAATCGCCAAGTGTAATCGGGGTCGGTCACAAAATGTTCTGTATCAAATTTACGTGTGCTGGGCCACGCTTTTTTAGGGATCCGTAGTAAACTAGGGACCCTTATTTGTGAAGGGAATATTATTATAATAAAATGACTGAAGGCAAGAGGTTACCCTTGATATAATTTTATTGTTATACCGGGAACAGAAATACATCACCTGTGCAAATTTCAACTGTCTAGATATCACGGATCATACACACAGAGGAGTATAGATATTAGTAAGATTTCGGATCTTACGCTTTGTGAATATAGAACCCTAAAACGCGCAATGAATCGGAAATTCATACTAATTCATAGTTCTTAATTGCAATATGATTGATCAGTTAGTTTTAACAGTTAAATACTAATAGGTACGAAGTTATTAACGATAGGTACTTTGTTTTGCAATTCCTATGAAATCGTGATAGCGTATTGTCGGAAGAAGAGGATGCCGGTTTTCTAAGCGGAAAACCAGTCAATACATCATCTTTTAAGGTCATTTAGTAAAATGTTAGACATATTTTAAATTGGTGTATTACTATTATATTTTATACGTAAATAATCCTTTTAGGTACCTATTTGTGTGCAAGTAGATAGGTACCTACCTAGGTATATATAAAAATATCTATATATTAGATAGTAAAAAGTAATAACATATAAGTAGTTCTCATCGCGTAGACATATACCTATAGGCTTTAAGATCAAAAACATATGCCATATACATGCCGAATGTTAAGATATCTAGATAATATTTAAAAATTAGAAGAACAATAAAAATGACCTAGGATTTTAAATAATCAGAAGATTGAAAAAACAATATAATTAAGTGCAAATACGTATAAACTTCCAACCTTCACCTCAAATTAAGTAAATAATGCGAATTAAAAATCAACTTTGGACAAAGTGTTGCCAAACACTTGAATTTATTAGTATTTATTTATTTAAATTTATTGAATGAAAAGTGTTTAAGTATATAGGTAGGTAGTCTAGATAATATTTTAAATAATATCTAATTATGGCGACCAGGAAGCAAGCATAATCTGTAGTATAGTATGTCTAGGCCTAGGTAGGAGCCTTATAATTACCACATTTACCTACCTTTCCTTTTAATTTCCTTAATAATCAAGTAAACACCTAAATTTAATTTAATTGCCGATCTCAATTTGAAATGTTATAATTGAGTTAGATAGATATTATTATTCGCAAGTTCTATTAAAGATTAGCTTCATTCGATGAGTAGTAAACTTAGATTCCTTGATTAAGAATAAAAATGTATAATTATACTTACTTTTATTCCTGAAAAACTATTATTATTCAGCAACCATAAAGTTATTGACTCACAACACTTGGTCTGGCAATAGAACCGACTCCAAATAAACTTTACCGGTAAAGTTCAATCAAAACTTATGTAGGTACGATTTTGTGTTTACGCGGTCGTCATGGTAACGGATGTAAATACAATATGGCGCCGAATGCGCGCGCGCCTCTGTGAACGAACGCAGACTGGCTGCGTTGCGCCGGCCACCGACCACCACCGCGGTTCTTCAGAAAGCGAGAGGAAGAGCCCAGGCTCCAAGCCAGTTTTAGTTGTGCGAGGACAAGTGCATGTTTCCATTACTAGCACTGATTTGTATGCATACTGTAGTCTCTACTACTATGGCAGTTTTTTGTGGGCGTAGCTTGTTAGCGCGACATATTCTATTTATATAAAGCCAATTAAAATAAACCATTGATGAACGATAATGATCCACCCTCTTAGTATACGATGAAACCGGTTACACAACTTCCGTGAAAATTTATCGCTTAGATTACCTATGCGAGTGTGGAGCCATGCGAGATATTTGTTTGATAGCAATAAGGCCTTGCCTTACATTGCACGGAGATGGCCTCGGCCGATGAGTTATTATTGTAAACGTCTGGGACTTATGTCACACACATAAGTAACAAGCAGGTGAGTTTACAGTCATGTCGATATATTGTGATTGAATTATGAGCATTAATTACCAACTTACAGCACTTTCCAGTCTTTCCAAAGGAAATAAACATATTAACCGCCGTGCGTAGCAGCGCAGTCGGGTAAAATAGATATAAAAAGGTACCACCACTAAGGTAGGTAAGGTACTATTATGGAATGAATTGGTCAAAATAAACGACATAATATATTATCACATAACTTTATATTTGAATGAGTAACTTTCAAATCCAATCTCCCATTTAATAATAATAAGAACATAAAGCTGTACACAATTCAATAAGCATTTACATTTAAATAATTCTGATGAGTTACAGTATCCGTAACTGAAAGTAAACCTAGGTATGTTGTTATTATTACAAAGCAACATCATGGACAATCGTTAAACAAAACATAAATGCTACAAATTAAAACTATCGTAAGAACTAAGTCCATTTCATACAAAAAAGTCCCCGCTTCGGAGTGGTGTTAAAACAAGGTTGCGTGGATTTATGAAATGGGTAAATTAGTCGAAGAAGTTTACACACCGATTACAATACAGTAGGTAATACATGCTACACAAATGTTCGATAAGTAACATTACGTGGGTACGTTAATTCTGTAACGAAATTATAATTTAATTAATTAAAACAAATGATATGATGCATTCTTGTGGCGTGCGGCACTAGGGTGCGACTCGCGTGAATAAACTCTAGTCGAGTAGCGTAATATTGAGGTAAACAGGCAGGCCTTCATTGTACGTTGCGTACTGCGGAGAGATTCACGATCCATGTAGTGTCCCAACAATATTACGCTACCAGTTTAGATATTTATAAATATAATACTAAACTAAAAAAAACATAAATGTAACAAAGCAGACTGGAAGTTAATACGAAAGAAGACTATTAGTACAAGCCTTGAGGAGATGTTAGAAAAGAAAGAAAGCCAACTAGTAAATTCTTAGTTAGACACTAACATTCTGTTGTATAAAATATCACTACAACATACAGACTATTTACATATTATTACAATTACATATGCCATATTGACAATTATTAAAGATGACTATTGACTATGCAATTATAATCAACACGAAATTGTTACACAATATCTACTTTATTTATATAATTTTTTCACAGTATTTCTTATAACGGCACTTAATCTAACGTACTAATAGCACCTACAATGTTCAATGTACATATTCTGAGACTTACACAGTGTTGACTACTTGGTCAAAGCACTTTGCGACAAACTGTTCCTTATCGTCCAACTTTCTGACGTCATTACCCACGTGACGTGTTAGCATAGCGTCTTGCAAAGCGTTGAGGGCTTCAGAGGTGAACCTCTTTCCTTTAAGATGAGTGATGACGGACGCTTCCCCGTGGAATCCAGATTCCACGAGACCTGGAGGGATGTTAAGAGTGACGTCTTCGATGAGACCCTTCTCCACCGACATGCTGATAACCAGCTCTTGTGTCGCAGAGTAAACCTTGGACGGAGCCAGCAACTCCGCCGGCACAGGGAAGGTGCGACTCACTGTGAACACCGGTGTTTTACCGAAGTTCCAGTCCCAGGACTGAAGCTCGTTTTTGATATCCGCAAGACCTGATAAAAAAATATAAAGATTAATACACTAATAACATATATCACAAGTATAAATTCAGTTCTAATTGGTAATTTTAGGTTTAGCTTACCTGGGAACCAGTCATCAGTAGGATTAATGTATTGGAAGCCTCGTTGCTTGGAGATCTGTGAGGTACCCCCATCTTGCAGGCTCAAGGCAGCTGTGCGCAGGAACTCGTACCCGACGGCAGTCTGGAGGCTGTCCACGGTAATGCGGTTGTCCATCTCGGACAGGTTGGCAACTTCAGAGCGCGTGGATGCAGTCGCCTGAGTCTGTATGCCATGCTAAATAGAATTAAAAATGTCCTTCTTATAAACTGGAGGGGCGGTTGTCAAGTCAAGGTCAGTAGTATTAGTAGAAGAGTTAGTCAAGAAATAACAATCACAATAGCCAAAAGGTTAATAAAACAATGAATTTTATGAATACAATTTGATTTGTCGAGAACATTGTGCAATATACAATATTGCTGTGTGCGTGCAATTCAGTATTGAGTGTTCACGCTTTTGTTCCCGCAACGTAAAGTGATGACTCACAGGTAAACAATGAAATGCAACATGTACGACCTGTGACATTACTAAATATTCAAAAGAGCATACTGGGCCTGCTTGGTACCAGCATACTAAATACATCGTTATATTTTACTATTAAATTATTTACATTAATTACAAAAACACTCAATTAATGGGAAATGTAAATCTAATAAAGCTAAATCAAAGTCCAATCTACATGAAACAGTCAAAGTCAACATCTCATGAAATAAATTACAGTGGGAGTTAGTGTGTGGGAGTAAAAATACTGATAGCAAAAATGGGTCAACAGCTAACATAACTTTGATAATGTACTATGTAGATGACACACTAGAGTACAGTTAATAAGAAGTAAAAAAAAACAAACATGATAGCAAGTAGGTAGTTAAAGAAGGAAATTACTTTAGTTCTTTGAACCAAAAAAGGTTCAAACATACTTAAACTTTTTTGTGTGCACATCTTTTAAATGTGTATATGTTTGCTGAACAGATGCAGCTATATTATTCAAGCATAAGGATGTTTGAACCTTAAGTATCCAGCCTTTTATGGAGATCTGTATTACTCACCTCACGTTTAGCAAGGGCTCTGCTGAGATCTGCCTTATTGGCATTGACTAGAAGTGTGCAGTGGTGATATCCTGTCAAACGGCCAAGCTTGGCAGCTGTTCCAGATACCTGATAATATAGATGCTAAGGAAACTATTTCAATATAATCATTGACATTTTTAATGGCAAAATGGGTTTCCTATTAGACTTGTACAAGAAAACTTAGGGTCTTGTACTATACCATGACCTCTGAATATATTACAAAATCACTACTTATTTTCATTATATTTGAAAAGGATACTTTGTATTTATCTCGAACAATCATATCTTGGCGTTCATTGATGATAGACTTGATTCCAAAACCCCTAAAGAGTGCTCTCTTGATCAGCTCCAAGTTGTATTTCCTGTCATATCTCTCCCGTGGGGTGAAGAAAGTGATGTTTAGGTTGCCGCGGTCATGGTACACAGTACCACCACCGCTGTTGCGTCTTGCAAGAGCTATTTCCCTCTCATTCAGGAGTGGGATGTTAGCTTCCAACCATGGATTCTGATGTCTTCCAATTACAACACAAGGTTCATTACGCCAGACCATCATAACATGATGGTTAGTGAAATCCATGTTACGGTACATCCAGTCTTCCAGAGCCAGATTAGTAAATATGTCCGTTGATTGGGACATAAACACAGACTTGGTGATCTCCCCCTCAGCCGGTAAGTCGCGTTCCTTCTTTGCATTCAGGTTCTTGCTTGCTGTTACCAAGCTGCGAGAGCTGGTTCTTCTTGTGATACCCACCACAAGGCAGGCACTGCTAGCGACTATCTTCTTCATCATTGACTGAGCCATCTTTAATGTTATATTTGTTTTAGGAATTAGATGATAATGAGTTCTTAAACGGATACTTTTCTGTATGAACTTTATAACCACACTTTATTAAAAGTTAATTACTTAATTGTTACTATTTACCTAAATAAATTGACTAATAACAGTTCAAATTGTCCATAGAATGTTATAACCTAGTGCTTAGAGCAACAGGCGTCAGTATCAGCCGACGAGAGGGAGATCAAATATTCGTGAAGTGCGATTGTCTGATGCAGCCACTTCCACGTTTGGTGCAGGGTATTAATTCGAAAACGAATTCCCAAACAGTCTCGACAGTCACTTGGCATTCCTCTTCTTGAATGCAGGATGTACAAAAAAATCACTACACAATTACTCACAAAAACGAAACCCGAAAGTATTCAAGAAATTATATCAGATTTATTTGCGTACAACGACAACAAATTACAAAAACGATTACTGAGAGAAACTCGAGAACAGTATGTGATCGCGCCACGATATCTGATGAATTAAATGAAATACCTTCCGCCGTCTCATTTTATTCGTGCTGATAATGATAAGCGCACTGGGGAACTAGGAGGTCGAGCGAGGTCATTCGAAGTTCAGTCCAAGACAAGAAAACAAACAAGTTGATAAGAAGCACGAAGTAGCCACGCGCACACAACCTTATCACTCGTCTTGGACAAATTTAATATTACAACAGATAAGTCGTGTGTTACTTCTAACCACAATAAATTGTAGTGCTTTTAATTACGTACCATTTCATAGTATAATTCTCGTTCTCGACTTTACTGGTGTGCATTTGAGTAACTCAAGTTTACTCTCCTCTCACCATTGAAATGTAGTTTGTGTGTATAGTATAGTCTCATTTTTGTTAATTATAGATAATACTACTTAATTTCCATTGTTTGGTAATTTCACCACAAATATATTATTGTCATTTTGTGCAAGATCCTGCGTGTTGGTTGACATTTTGACTTTACCTCCAAATGTCAAAATTGACGTACAGTGGAAAATGCTCTTTGTACCACAAACATTCGAAACATGTTGGTACCTGCATTTAGTGCAAAAAAAACATGGACATTTTAATAATATGCATAAGTATAACTTGTATAAATGTACATGTTATTATAATATTAACATAAATTAGCCCGTGGGTGGCCTACGCGCAATTGAGAGAGGGTGACTGGGTGTTCTCTTACAACTAGTCAGAGAGCCGATAGTATAAGCCATCCGTGGACATCTGCGATATCAACATTTTTGGTTTGGTCAGTTGGTCACCGGTATTTCCTTACTTGTGCGGTGAAACACACAAAGTTACCACGTTACAGCAATCACTGCCGTTGTATCACTCAGGTGTAGCCACCTGTTCGCCCAATGGGGCGAACACCTGGCAAGGCATTATGGCGAATAAGGCATCAAACCCAGATCCCAAAGACCGAATTGGACTGAAAGGGCGTCAACTTTTGTCATCTTGAGCCAATGAGGCAAAAACTCAAAAAGCTAGATAGTTCCTTGGGTTTAAATAAATAAACATCACGCTTCTTGGACGGATTGGTTATTTTAAGTCCATGTTTTCTTTCACACAGAGAATATGCTATTATTATAATATTCTATATATATATATATTTATTTTAGTGTTATTATTTTTAAATCTTTTTATCGTCTCAAAGTTCTCTTCTTGTTGCACCTACCATACTCTCTCTGCATCACCCTAAGGTTGACTGGTGAGAATGCCTACGGCATTAAGTCCGCCTATGTAATGTTTTGTTGCTTAAAGTTTAAATAAATAAATAAATAAATATGTGTCACTATACGGGTATAGTGACACATATTACACATAGTATACCCATACTTTAATTGTTTAAACGACTGATCTTGAAGTCCTCAGGCGAGGCCTGTGTTTATAACCGACTGCTCTTGAAATCCTCAGGCGACGCCTGTGTTTAATAGTGGCCTAATGGACCGAGACACAGACATATAAAGCAATACCAGAGCAAACATAACCTCATTGTGTTAAATGATGTGAAGGTAACAGAATCTTTGTCTCATAAAATATGAAATACAATGTACACACATAAAATTATGACAAATTGTTACACAGTAAAAAGTACAGTAACAGTAAAAGTTAAACAGATTATCAGACTCTTACTGACTAAAAACCACTACCACCACCACCACATGTGCCATGTGCTTACTCGCAACCTTAACTGCGCATCGGCCCTATTGGGCCCCATCTGTGGTGGATAGATACTAAATGTTTATTTATAATATAATAGTTATGCATTTTTTGTAATATCGCCGTGCTTCCAACTATGAAAAATAATAAAAAACGTTTTTCATGGAAAGAGTGTAAGTGCACCTACAAAGTTTTTCGTACCCACGAAGTTTTTCGAATTCAATTTTGAAAAACCCAAAAAACAATTTTGAAAAATTTTGTTTGATTTTTAGTAGCCGTCCTCAGGAGATAATTATTCGTCAGGTAAATATTCAAAAATCCTATTCTTAGTAGGTAGTTGCAAGTCCGTAATGATCTAAACAAAAATTCTTATGTATTATTTGTGAGTTGTACCGTGGAATTTTTATTTGGGAAACAAACAGATTTTTATATAAAAATAATTATGAAAAATCACAAAATAATGTTCATAAGAAATATTACGAAACAAAATGTACCTACGTGTAATATGAAGTTCAAGCAAAAATCGAAAAAAAAAATCCGTTCCACGTTCCTTTAAAAAAATAAAAGAAACTGGTCTTTCTGCCATCTCTTACTATTATCTAGGATTTTTTAGTCTTTGCATATGTCAATGTCAATAAATATACTAATGTCAGTATGACTTTTGATTGAAGGGATTTGTACGCAAAAGCACGGTCGAGTTTCGATCGAATATTATATTTTCAACCACTAAGATTACACAGTTTTGAAAAATATGGCTTTTAGAACCACCGCTGTTGCACTGAGTAAGTGGTGGTTATAAATTGACATCATAACCATTTCAATAACATATTTATAACAATAATGTTATGTAACTTGCTTACTTTCAGGCAGCATGAAGAAATGGGCCTACAACATGGCTGGATTCAACAAATACGGTATGTTTCTGAACTAAAGTTATCAGTTCATGCTTAATTCAATCCTATGTTCTACAGTTGTTTCATTAGACAGTGAGAGTCTTGAAAGATGAGGCCAACATCCTCATTGAAAATCCTTAGGCTAAGCTTAATAAGGAATAAGTACTTATCCGTTTAAAATTTGGAATATTCAATGACTGGAATATTAGTAAACATGTGAGTGGGTCTGGGGTGGAAATCTTTGCCATGGATATAGCAAATTATTCCAGAAATATGTTTCTGTTGTTAATAATGGAGACAAAATGAAGTGAAGAGCTGTCTATGATAAATACGTTGTTCTTATTGCTTGCTTGAGTTTATTTCAGTTTCAATTAGTGAATGAAAATGTTCAAAATAAACAAAAGTACCTTAAATAATTCCAGGTCTCCTCCGTGATGACTGTCTTCATGAGACCGAGGATGTGACTGAGGCTTTGCGTCGCCTGCCACAGCATGTTGTTGATGAACGCAACTTCCGCATTGTACGAGCTCTGCAACTGTCCCTCACCAAGACCATCCTCCCCAAAGAAGAGTGGACCAAATGGGAGGAGGACCAGCTCTACCTCACACCTATTGTAGACCAAGTCAAGAAGGAGAGACAAGAGAAAGAAAACTGGGAGAAGAACTATTAAATAGCAATTGTTGTAATGTTTGGTGTATTATTATTTAAATAAATTTAGTATCGTTCAAATTGTAAATATTTTTTCCCTATTTTTTTAATTTATTCTATGCAGATGTTTTTACATTTCCTTAACTACATAAATAATTAAATAGTTCGACAAAAGAAGTGTCTTTACTAAATATCTCCTATTTTATGTCAAATATCTATCTATATCTTCCATGTCTTCATCGATCTTATTTTTCTAATTGAGTACTGCTAGTCTGCTTTCATTTTTGCGCTTTTCACTGTCATAAAAATATTCTATAGCATTCTAGATAAGGCCTTTCTTAATAATCCTAGTTATAAAACATTAATAGTCTTACAAAATAACCCCAAGACAATAATAATCAAACACATATTAAAAAAAAAAACAATTTATTTTTACAAAATAGAAAATAAAATACAGATCTTGAAGAATGTAATAATTTCAAGAAAAACAAACAAAGTATGGCAACAAAATATATTATGGCCACTAAGAAGGATTATTTAAAATTACAATATAATATATTACATAAATATATGGTCCCTTTTAAAATAACATGACTTATAACAACAATAAAATTCCACCTTCTCATTTTAAAAGCTGGCCAATAGTTTTAATGTATTATTAGTAATATTAAAGGAGATTTTTTTATCATAGCATACACAGTATTATATAAAAACAAATGCTTTCACGATACATAGTAAAATATAGCATAAAAGACTATAGATAAAGATCATTTTAAGATCACAAAATAGTGTAGTTTTACCATATAACAAGTGAGATTCCAATGAAAAACTTTTTATACGAAAATAAAAAATATCAGGACCTATTAAAAATGATTATATGATATGAATTTGGACAACCGCATTTACATAACTATACCATAAAATATTATTATTAACACAAAATGTGACCGTAAATTATTATTATAGTTGCAATTGATACAATAGAAAACAAATAAAGACATCATTGGGGCCAGCCAAAGAAGCCATCGACAATCAGAAATAGACTGTAGTCTTGAAACTGAAAGAATAAGCTAGGAGTTCCGAAAGGTCAGTTTCTGTTTTAATTTTACACTTAGCTCAAGGCTCTATATTACCTTAGCAAATGATGCGGCACTGTAGGGCTAATTCGCTGAGTTATATTGTTTTGTAGGCTAATCAAAAATGAAGAGAGCTAGTATAAGGTAAGTAAGCTAAGGATTACATCAACATTTTTCTTCTGTATAGCCAAAAGAATATTGTAACTAAAGCTGGGTCTTCTAGACCCAGTTTCTATTAAGTTCTGTACAAACATTTCTCCATTATAAAATTCTATTACAACATTATTTCATTACAAAAGCGTAGTCATTGTAAAAAAGACCTTTTAGCATTGTACAGAGAGAAGTTAATTAAAAATGCATTGTAATATTCACAGAATCTAAGTTTAAAATCTTATGTATGTTATGAACAAGAGAACATTTACTACGACGACTTATGTTTTTGTTCGATAATTGTGTTTTTGTTACATTTATCCTATTACTTATGTACCACTATGATCCTTAAGAACTATTTATTCTACTATGGTAGGTATACGTATATTATATTGGTTCAGATTAGTTAATTTAATAAAAAAAATATATAAAATCGGGCGAGATCTTGAATGTATTCTACAAAGTACATGCATACAATTAATGACAACAAATAACTACTCATAATACAGGGTACTATTGGAAAATCCTGTAGATATCCGACTAACAATTACACATGCATTCAAACCTTTACATTACAGAGTAAAAATATGTCGAACTCGTTAAAGCAACAAGTTAATATGTAGTCTTTTTTATGAGGAATTATTATAACCTTTTTTTGTGTTGGTGATTATGATGTAATAAGAAATATTTTTTTTATTTCATTTTATAATATAAATGAAGAAATTATTTAATTATTATCCCTTCTGCGAGTCACCTGACGGACGGACAGCCATTTCCCGGTCGGTTTCAATTTCTTATTTTGTATTCGCATCAGCCAAAATATATTTAAGAAAATTCGAAAACCGATATTAACGATGCCTTTTACTTAAACGCAATTTAGAAACGTCATGAGCAAATATTTAAAACATATAAAAAAAAGTTACTTAGTAACTAGAAAAACACTTACATAATATGGCAAGTATGTAGACTGTTCAATAATATTGATATGACGTACAATTGATATAAAGTGTTCATAGCCGAGTACTTACTACATAGTAATAATAAGGTAAAATGTATAAACTATCTAAAAAGACAATTAGATAAAAAAATATTCTGTACAAATACGAAAAAATGCAAATATATGTATACAATTTTTACAAGATTTTTTTTCTATACATAATTATTGGCAACTTTGTTTCCGTGTGATAAATTGTCTTTGGAAAACATTATTGTATTTAAATTCGAGTGTGGTGTTGGCCCTTACAGTTCCTCGTCTCCAATAGCTTCGAACGCGTTGTTCTCGACGCACTCTCTGCCGGGCTTGAAGGAGACAGTCGCGAACTTTTCTGTCAACTTTTGCACAGAAAATATCTCTCTCGAACTACCGGAGGTACCGGAATCTCCGTTCTGTAAACACAAAAACTCTATATTAACAAACTTATGAAGCTGAAACAAGGATAACTTCTAATCTATACTAGCTACTCTCACGCGGTTTTACCCTGCGCGCCTCCGCGGCTGCTCGTCTTCTGCAAATCGTAGCGTGATGTTGTATAGCAAGAAAAAAAACCTTCTTCAATAAATGGTCTCTTAAACACAAAAATATTTTTTCAATTCGAACCAGTAGTTCTTGAGATAAGCGCGTCCAAACAAACAAACTCTTCAGCTTTATAATACTGGCTTGCTTGTACGCAGCAATCCGTTCCGGTTCTAAATGAAGAATTATTTTTTGTATTATATTGTCCACAAAAACATCACGCTTCGATCAATAGGAACCGAAAAGAGGGTTAAACCGCGTGAAAAGTAGTATTTATTTTTTAGTCTAGTAAACTACCTATTGTAAACTTACAGTAGAGCTGAGCGTATCGCTCGAAGATGATGGCGTGATGACTTGACTCGAACCATCCCGTCGCAGGTACGTCAGGCTGCCTCGCTTACTGCACCTCGGGGACGCTGGGCCTTCGCCTGCTTTCTGGCGCATCAGTTCATCTACGATTGACTGAAATAAAATTAAAATTTGAGGATTACTTAGTTGTTAGACAGTGGGAATACGGATATTTTTTTCTGATAGGAAAAGAACAGTAAAATATCAAGATCAAACTTTGTAATTAAGCTGATTAATCTCATGCAAGAAGAAATCGCATTATTATATCTCGGCCACTGTTAAGCATACTTTGCTCAGCTAAGGCTTCATGGAATATTAGAGAAACAGATTCAGAAGTAATCATTAAGGATTCCGTTTCGTTGAACATGCTCCTTAAACTGTCAAGTTCCATGGGTATGTAGGTAGGTGTAGAAGACGCTATATATGTACAGGCAAAAAATAAATCTAACAATAGTATGAATTAAACCTACAACATACCTGTAAACACACGCTAATAAATGTCGCATGTTCTGTCCTCAACGTAATCCATTTCAAGTTGTCCTTACTAATGAGATATTCAAACGACAACTCAAAGTTCCTGTTAGAATCCTCTAGAAGGGCGCCATGGCCGTTTTGGGCTGGTGACCTTTCAATCTGCAACAAAGGTTATGTAAATGTCAGATGCAAAATGAGTAATGTATTCATTACAATTAACAGCTTATTGTTACTATGAAAATAAAACAAAATATCTTGGTTTTGCAGTCAGGTGAAGGGCGTATTACCTAAGTAGGTAAGTTAATAAGAAACGCCGATCTCAAAATTAAACGTCTTTTAACTCGCATTTTTCTTCTATCATAACAATAAAGGCTCAAACATCATCATTCGAAGGTCTGGTACAAGTCAATTGGTACAAGTGGTACCTACCTAGTTGGTTGAGAAAAAGATATTGTTATTATAACGTCACTTGACACTGCGAGTGACGTTATAATAACAACGCAACATGGCAATAACGTACACCTATAACATGGGACTTACAACAAAACTAGCTTCCGTCGCGGGGTTTCACTCGCTGCTCGGCTCCTACTAATCGTAGCATGATGTTTTAAGCCTAAAACCTTCCCCGATAAATGTACCTACTACGAAACACAAAAAGAATTATTCAATTCGAACCAGTAGTTTTGGAGATTAGCGCACAACAACTAAACTCTCCAGCTTTACAATATTATAATAGTATAGATTAACGAAAGGCGACTGGTACGTTTTCTCAGTCAGCCTACACTATACTAAAAGTTATGACGTAGGTAATCCTATACTCACAGTATGTAGAGTAGTGATCCTCCAGCATCGCATTCTAGTAACCTTGTACCGCTGCTCTCGTGCGGGGGGCGTGAGGCTAAGCAGCGTGAGCTCCTTCGAGGCGAGAGACACGCGCACACGACACGTGCCCTCCGGAGCCCCATCTGTTACGTTACTTAGTTCCGTCACCGCTTCACCCGCCGGTATCCTTCCATAATGGCGTAACGTTTTCGCTAGTTCTACATACTGTAACATAACAATTATAGTTTTATTGCATTACGTTGATGTTGATTCGGTTACTTATATCTAAAAATAATTCTTTACCAACGAAATTGGTCGTTATATTATGCATATGGCCGAATGTTTTCTATTAGGTATAGCAAACTTTTATAATTTTAATGCAGAATAATTAGGTAAACGTTAAAATCAAAATCTTTTTTAGTTTTTGGAAGCGAGTAATGATTGCTATATTTTGTGTAGGTACTTCTAAAAACGAATGTCTAATATGGACCACATGAGAATACCTAGATGAACAATAAAAGTCAATGAACAAACTTGAGTATACGAAAATAATGAATGATAATTCTCAAACATTAAAATTACTTTTTTAATGTCACACAAATGAATGATGATCTCATTCACATTCATTAATCTAATTATAAAACACGATAAGCAGGAAGAAGAGTGGTTCGTTAAGGAAAATGGTATGCAATAATCCTGATATAAAATTAAATAACTCACAAACAAGATTGAACTAAATTCCTTAAGTACCTATAGCAATGTTTCTTTTGATATTTTCATCACCAGTTAAGTATGAAAGTTGTTCAAATAAAAAATCGTTGTAAATGTTTCATATTGTTTAGAATTTTTTTATTCAAAACGTTCTTGATCTTTTACAAAATCAAGCATGCAAATAATCTCGATAACCCTGACTTTAAACCAACTGCTAACTTTTATGATAATATATAACTTTGTTTACAGTTATAATAGGAAGTTTAAAAAAAATCTTTCCTGTTTGCTAAGAAAAATAAGTAAGAAGTAACTGCTAAGAAAATGCTACTACTCAACAAACGAATATCTGGATGATAAATTACTATAAAGCCTATGTCTCTTTTAGATTTAGAGTAAAAAAATAAGACAAAAAAATTGTACACTACATAATTAGGATGGTAGAATAAATGAAACTACACCAATTTTAACATCTTAATGCACTATGTTTTTACAAATAAAATATTAGTTCTTATTTTATATACAAAATTAGTATGAATTTTGCCTAATCAATTGATTTCTAGAAAATAGTTGAAACATAATATTGATGTGCAAATGATTCATTTTATAAGCTTCCAATGATATCAGACAGTGATGACAGAACAAGTAAACTGTAGGTAGTTTTATTTGCTACAATGATTTATTTTCTAATTTTTAGATGAATTCACTCTCTAATATTTCATAAATTAGGTACAATCCATTTTAACAATTAATTAATACCACGTAAAGATTGCTGATAAAGATGTTTATATTAATTACAGTACTGGCACATTGTAGTTAACTAGTGACCATAACCTCTTGAGTAGTTATTGCTTATTGATAACTTGAACTGACATCAAGTGTGAATGAATTTTAATTAGTTCAAAAGTGTATTTCATTTTGTAGAGTATCATGTCAATCATATTATAGTGTTTTTATTAACATTCTATTCATCAAAACATAATTTAAATTAGTTAGTTTAGAATCAATTAAAAAGAAACCAACTGACATTCATAAATAACAAATCAATAGATGATCAAGAAAAAAGTTTTAATCAAATAAGTATAGTAACTATTGTGAGACAGTAAATTTATTGAAAGTAACAACTAACTAGCATGAATTAACTGTAAAAAGCAGCAATTTGTATTTAATATACTAGTGAAATGAAATTGACTTCCATAAAAATAAACATTATTGTAAACAGTAGGTATCTTGTTATAAATCAATCAGATGGCTTTAACAATACCTTAATTAGTTTGATATGCAACAGAGCAAATGATTTGTGTATCAGGTGTGTGAGATATCAACATATGGTGCATGAATCACCTTAGCTTTTATATATGAATCATAGAAATCATCATCATCACAATACACACATACAATAAAAATATATTTATGCTCACCTACCTCTCTCTTTTGTTTCTTAGATTTGTATGAGGACAGCATGTCTCTAGTTTGTGGGTCAGCTGTTATCCATCCTAAGTCCAAGTCTTCTATAATTTGCAGGTACAATAGGTCCAGAGACACCCTGTCTATCATTAAATCAACATCATAGCAAGTATCCCAGTAGCTGTAACAAAAAACGAAATATAAAATAATGAATTAAATTAAAAAAAAAAGCTAAAACATTCATGCTTATTGTGGTAGTTACCTTTTCCTCAAAACAATTTTGTCTTCTGGTCTAACATACTTTTGAGATATGTATGGAGATTCATATTCTTCTAATTTCTTTAATGCTGGCTGTCCATCTTTTGCACAACTCCAATTAAAAAGGTATAAGGAAAAGTATTTTACCAGCTCCTTTGGTAGGTTTAGTTGGGTGCATACAATGTCTAATATGGTGTTTGATGAATCTGTAGATGATACTGACAAAGGTATTCTGTAACCATTCATCAGTGATATTTCAATCTCTACCTCATGCATTTTGACACCATGAGTTTCTTGTTGAGCGGAAAATAGGAATGTTACTAGAAGATCTGATGATGTAAACAATGGATTCTGGCCAACTAAAAAAAAAGTTTGTGTCAATTGACCATTTTTCACTGAACATGGTACACAAGCATTACAATTATGTATTGTTAAGTCTACTGTAAAGATCTGTAAGGTGAGCTGCAGTGCACAAACATTATGTGTTCCTAATTAAAAACATATTTGTAACTAAAATCCATAACTTATTATTGTTTCTTCAGAAATAAGAAGTTTTGTTTTTATATAATTACTGTATAAAACTTGAAAGACTTCATACACAGCTTTCTCTAAACAAAATATTATATATTTTTTTTATAAATTTTGTCATAATTACCTAGTTGCATATACTTTTCCAATAAGACCCTTCTTTCTTCCAGTTGGGAGTTGGTAAGAAATAACTTTTTGGGTGGAAACTGTGGCAGTTTAACATACGGATTTTGAGCCTGCAGTTGCTCATGTAAACTGAGCAGCTGTTTGTACCTAGCTGTGCAATGGAAGACTCCATCAATATGTATGTTGTAGCCCTAAAACAAATATATTTATCAGTTTTTTTCATAATTTTTTTATACAAAATTATTCAATAACGATTCAGAAAAAGGAAAAGAAAAGTTTTTAACAAGTATCAGTGAAAACAAATACTATTCTGTGTTAGTGTGAGATTGTAACATTACTTCAATATTAAAAACTTTTCCTTCACTATAGAACATTTTACACTATAATTTTCTTGTTTTCAATATTTTATAAACAATAAACGTAAATTAATAATTACCGTGTAAGAGATTCCATTGTCGTCGTGAAACTGTTGCAAATCAGGAATAGAAAAATGCATTTTTATTGTTGCGAAATATGCATAATATTTTTCAGTAACTAACTATTAGTAAAACAATCACAAATATTTCCAATATCACAAAAGTAGTATCAAATCGCCCACTTTTTAATTTGTTTTTTCCAAAACACTGACTTTCCCACAACCCATTCAAGACATTACTAGAGATACCCTTTAGCAATCGAAGCTGTCGAATGTAATGTAAAGTTTGACGTGCGAATTGCTACGTTAAACTATCGATATCCAAATCCTCTCGTAAAAATCAGTGGTAACTTAGTACCTAAGCGCTGTAGTGCCTAGTAATTAACAAATGTGTAATTTTATCATTTTTTTCAGCTCTTCTATACACTCGTAATAACTTTTTATTAGATTCACCATATGATTTTATGAAGGTTGCGCTTTCTTGTTTACGAATGTTGAAGGCCAACATGATGTTGCTTGTCGTTTGAAGAAAAAAAAATAATTACTATGTTTACAAACAATTTTACTGTTAGAACTTTAAACATACACAAATATATTGTACTAATATTTAAAGTGGGAAAATATTTCAAATGTGCGAATCCGAAGTTTTACTGTCCTTCCTTTGTAATAGCAACACAATATATTAGTTGTCATCGCTTGCTCAGCTGTTGTAGTTTTATTTTGATTTGTAATTTTAGCAACTCATTATTTCGCACATACATAATTAGAAGTTGATGATTTATGTAGGAATAACTGAAAAAAAAAAAAACTGATTTCTTAGATTGAGTAAAAATAGTTGTCGTCTCCATCTACTGTGGAAATAAAGAATAAACGAAGTATAATTAAAAATGTCTAATCCTTTACCGGTTATAACTATACAATGCGATTGGAACGACGTTATAAGGTAAATATTAGTTATGTAATGAATATTGTCTTTCCTGTTTTACCATTTCCTTAAACAAAGATATCTGTCAGCCGACCTCTTTTAGAAATATCATAAAATTGCTGAACAAGCCCCAACATTGCCTACCTACCTACAATATTCAATCTCAAACTTTTTTTTTATTTGAAATTACAGATTACCCAAAGGAACTGCCTGGATAACTTCTAAAAAATTGAATGAAAATGGTATACATGATAAACTTACCACTTGTATGAGTGATGGAAAAGTGAAAATTGAGTTTTCAGATAATTACCAATACATTTCTCATGGACCATTGAGTTTGGTATTAAAACATATTCCCTCAGATCTCAAGGTAGCATTTATAGCTCCGTCAAAAGCTCACAAAATACATAGTAAAGGGGTGTTATCTGTAGCAGTAGCTGAAAATGCTTTAGCTGTGTCTTCATGTGAACAGGATAAACTTGTGGTTTGGGACAGTAGGACAGGTAAATTAATTTTATATTGAATTGCTTTAAGTTAATAGTTTTGCTTGCTATACTCTCAACTATCTCCGAACAATATCCTGATAAAACCATTGCAAATCTTCTGAAAAAAGTCAAATGAACAAGTGTATGTACACTAAAAGATTTATAATATTAGTATAGATTAGGATATAGTCAGGCCCACAACACAATTGCGAATACAGAAATGTACTAAACTGCTTTCTTGTCATTTTAGGTGAAGTAAACCTTGAATTAAAGGGCCATGGTGGTCCAGTTTACAAATGCAGGTTCTTCCCATCAGGGATAGTAGTTTTATCTGCTGGTGCCGATGGTTCCTGCAGGATCTGGTCTGCAGAGTCTGGAATTAATCCTGTTACTTTGAAAGGTCATACAATGGCTGTGTGTGATATCTGTATCATTGAAAAAGGAAGAAATGTTATATCTGTCAGCAAGTATGAACCTATTTTCTATAATTTTAGCTTTTCTTGTGCGGTTTCACTGACTGCTGGCTTGGTATAACTTAATATTTTTTCACCTTAAACCTTGCTTGGAAATGGACTATTCAACATATTTTTTCAATTCACACCAATATGGTTAAACTGGGAAACCAGCAATTGGATAGTTTCCTAGATCAAAAATAAATAAATTCGATGTTTCAATACAATAAAGTATTGAAAAATACCTCTACTTTTATTCATTGATTGATCAATAAACTAAGTTTTAGAAATTTAATTATTAAGAAATAAGTAAGCTATTTGACGCAAAAATATTATGACGTCAAATTTGTATGAAAAACAGTGGTTTTCCATACAAATTTCATAGAAAAGTATCATTTTTGACATTTGGATAAAGTATTGAATTTGACTGGTTGGTAATTACCGTATTGAATTGGATTGACAGAATTTGCTTTGTAATATTGGTAAGTATAAACATTTGTTTGTATGCCTTGCTTATATATTATAAATTTTTACAGAGATGGATCAGCAAAACTATGGTATGTTGGTGAATCAAAGTGCCTAGCTAATGTTGTTGAAGGACATGGACAGATCAATTGCTGTGCCCTCTCCACAACAAGTGAGGAAGTTGAGGTGGAAAATGAGAGAGAGGTAAGAAAAAAGAATTAAATGTAACAACTAAAAAATAAATGTCAAACAACACTTGTCAGTGCAATGGAATCTCTTTATTAAAATATTCTCGTTGTTCATTGTTATCTATAGAATCATACAAAATTAAACTTTATTGTAATAACTTGAATGTAACATTTCAGGTAGGAACAAAAAACAAATTACTGGTTGTGGGATGTGAGAGTGGCCAAGTAATCTGTTCCCATGTGGCCAAGAGGGCTCAAATCTACTCTAAGCAGTTGGACTCAGCTTGTAACACCATCATTATTTTGGACCAATCTGTCATTGTTGGTTGCAGCGATGGAAAGGTAATTTTTATTTTGACAATATTATGATTAATAACTCAAATATATTTTAGAAATGAATATGGCTTAATTCTTATTAAAAAACTTATAAAGGCTAAAACACTTGTAATCAAACTGCTGTAACATTTTTATGATGGCAAGTTTATTAACAGGAATATTAATGTGTGTTTCAGATAGTAAAATTAAACCTTGAAGATGGCTCGCTATTAAAAGAATGGCACGAATCAGCTAGTCCTGTACTAAGCATGGTAGTTCTGACCAATCAAATGTTCGCTGTTGGACGGCAGGATGGCACATGTACCGTGTTGACTCTTGACGAGGCCCACTCTAAACTTAGAGTGCAGCTGACCGGTGCTGATTGTGATGGCATCAGGGACCTATCGTTCAATGGCAAGTGGGTATTTGCTGGCTGTAGAGATTCTATGGTGCGGAAATATGACTTTAATCAAATCAATGTCCACTTTAAATAAAAAAACTTAATAATATACTTATGAAATAAGATTATTTATGTATAAGATTTAATATACCTTTGTCTTGGACATTTATCATTATGACAATTTTATTTGTGAATATATTGTGAAGTAGGAAGTTAGGGTATATAAGGCGATAGAGTATAAAAATTGAAAAATGTTGCTGTTGGTAATTTCTCTGTTTTGTAATGAAGTTTCATTTCTTTAATTTACTTCTGCTATTTCTGTCACAAGTGCATACTGCACGATATTCTGCTGTTACAATCTGTAAAAAGATTATCTCATTATATTCAATTGTATGAAAGATTTATAAATCTTTACACAGCTGTGGAGTTCCATAAAGGGTATATGGAACTCCCTTTATGGAACTCCACAGCTGTGTTCTCAATCTGATGCATTGTTTCCATAACGGTTTTACCACAGTGGACTGTTCCGAATAAAATTTTTCTTTTTCTATTTAATTTATGTTGGATTCTTACCTCAACATTAATGTACTTTGATTTCAAATCATTGAAGTTTCTTTTAGTGCGTTTATATAATTTCATCCAAAGAATGCAATCTTTTTGAATATCTCTTCTTAGCTTAAGCCAATGTATAGTATGTCTTTTTGCTAAGCCTGGACATCTCGTTTCTTAAATTCAATACAGAATATTAGTTGTCTTCTGAATTTTGTTATTCCTACTTTAATAAAAATGAATTTTTACCCACTTTTTTGTTTCAATAAGCAAATAGTTTCTTTGCATGAGCTATGTATCCATTGACCCCACATTTCTAAATTTGCATAGGCTTTTTCCAAATCGTTGCACCATTTGCGCATATCGGCTTCCGTTACACGAGTTGGCATTACTGGAAATGGACAGATCGGTGAATATTTACAGTATTTTGTAATGTAACCGACTTTCAAAAAACAGAGACGCTCTCTAACCGCTTTCTTAATTATTATTCGTAGTTATTAATACGTAAGGAAACGTAAAGGAGTTTTTAATACGTACTTTCCTTATATAAACATTCGTCGCTCGGCTCGCCGTGACCAAACGATCTCACCCAGGAGGGTGCTGTACTGAGTTTTACTCCTGTTGAGAAACAAAATGTTGTGTATAAAATAAATTTATTGTTTTAAAATTATTAATATGCAGTGGTGGTAAGTCAATTCATATTTTTTTACATGCATTAAGTATTAATTGAGCAACTTACGCCAACCACAATCAGAGAGCGAAGAAGATTTTTGGTAAGATGGTTTTCTGTTACTTGTTCTATTAGCCCTTTTGTAGCCTTTTCCACTGAAGGAGCTTTCAGTACTTATAATTTCCGATTCAGTGTAATCGAGCCGAAAATTTTCTGAATCACGGGTTAATTTACTGTCGGATTCTTCTACAACAGGAACAGACTTATCGCTTTTTCTGTCCAGCGTCTTGGTATAGATTTGTATAGGTTCAACCGTGGTGATTTCTCTGTTCTCTTTAGCCGACTCAAATGATTGTAAATCTGTTTCATACTCCTCTGTATTCGCTAAATCCTTGAATTTATAATCAAAAATTTCGACTTCCTGTTTAGAAATAGGTACTTCTGGTTTTTCCGGGGTCACGCTTTTTCGTGGAGATTTTTGCGATTCGTCCATTTCCATAATATCTTTTAGGGATGTAGTTAATTTGTGTACGTACATATCACTGACTTTTAATTTAGCGTCTAAATTATCAGGCCAAGACTCATCTGCATCACCTGTAGGTACAATTGAAATCAGACTTAATTACCCAGGTGTTAAATAGACCATCTACATGTAAATATGTAGATGGTCTATTACTATACTACCTTCACAACTTATATTATAGTTTGACCGGAACCGCTATGTCGCGCATTAGGAATGTTCGATAAGGTCACCGGGATGAATAGGAATTTAATAAATGGGGTCCTAATAAGATTAGGTACAAACCGCAACAGCTTCTTCCCGCTATTCGTGCCTATACATTTACCTACAGGGTTTTGACAGTTTTCTCGTCCTTCATGGTCGTCGTAGGTACTAACAACTATCTATGTATATAATAAATAGCTACGCTATAAAAAGGTCTTGCACTTACTGAGTAAATGAATATTGGGTGCAGAAAAGACGATTAGAGATTTATCAGTTATAAAATTAGATTTTACTTGGTTGTGTTTTTCAAATTCATCCATTGTGACGCTAGACATAAAGATGCAAATCATTCACGTGGTACATTTTTAAATAACGAGAGCTAAATCTTATATTTGTTTTCTTTTTGAAGTGGATTGTGATAGTTATTAGTAAAAAAATATTTACCTTTCTTTAAGGTGTCCTGTAATGTCATCAGGTTTCACTGAAAATATAAGATCTCCCTATTTATTTTATCGTAATTCGAGTTTCGAGCTGATCGAATTGTATCACTTATACGACTAATTGTGACTTACTGACTTTTGACGAGGATAGGTTTCTTCGATGTTGGAAAAGTGTAAAACCGATCCCCATAGTTGCCAGTCAAGTCTGGTAGATTTATCAGTGGAGTTGAAGATGATCATAACTTTTAATTGCTTATTTTAAACCATAATAACAAATCGGTTTCATTCCCGTAAAACTACCAAGTGGATATAAAAGTAAAATTATTTTAACTTAAAATATTACCCAAGTCTTGATGAGAAAGTTTTACATTTTTGCTGTCCATTTCGTCATCACTTTCTTCAAGTAAAATTTCAGAACGTTCATTCACATTTGAATAATTTTGTCCTAATTCATCGACATGATCAGCATGTTGGTCAACATTCTCATCATCGACATTTGGAGCCTCAATAAGTTCATCTACATTTCGACCCGTGTACATGGCAATACGTTTATCATTATTTTGACCGTCGATATGTTCATCGGCATTTTCATCAATGTTCAGTTTATCAAAAGTTTCTTCTTCGTCTTTATATTTTTCGACATATTCGGTTTTTAGAGGTAGTTCTGCCATTTTATTGGTTCCTTTTAAATTGATAATGCTATCAGTTATAGTATCTGCTTTGTTAATATTGTTTTTAATTCCTAATTGCGTTGCAATTACACCAATGTATTTATCAGCGATGTCTTCTGGACCGTTACTTTTATAATTTTCGGATTCTTTGTCTATGTTGTCTATAATATTAGAAATTTCATTTTTGAAATAATCTTCAGGATCAAACTGAATGCTGTTCATTACGTTTTGTATTTCTTTTCGAAAATATTGTTCATCAGATAAATTATCAGCTTCTACAGTATTGGGTGTTTCTTCTAATTTTTCCATACGTAAGTTGGAATCGACCGGTGTCAAAGATTGATTTGATTGGCCTGCCAATTCTTCAAGTTTTGCTGTTTCTGATTCTTCTGATTTTTCTGTTTCATTTGATTCTTGTGATTCACCAGATTCTCGTGATTTTTCTGATACCGACTCTCCGGATGCTGACTCTGCCAGCACTGGCTGGGGTTCGCATATACCCTAAAACAATATTTTTTATAATTATAATTAGGTACTTACCTATGTATAAAAAACATTAGATACACTTTTTCAAAATGTTAAAGTAACACGATTTTAGAATTCTAAACTAGTATCATATCTTACTATAACTTTATCAAATAAATCGTCAATAAAGTCCAGCGCGGGGCCTTCTTCTTCTTCTAGCTCTGTGAAATTGAGAAACAATTATTGATTTCTAAAATAGTATGTCAGCTAGAATCAAAATTAATGATATCGATTACTGAACGAATAATTAAGCTCTGCACCTTTTCTCTTAAATTCCTTTAAAAGTGTTTCTACGGGTGTGACAAATTGTTTGGAAAGATGCGCATCACCCAAGCTTATTTTTGAGTCTTACTAAAAAGAAAATAATGAAACAAAAAATGCAATATGTTAGACCTACATAAATAATCTTAAAAACACATATTTACTGAAGAAAAAAGCTCCAAGGAACACCTACCTCTCAAATCTTCTTCTAGAAGCTTTAGAGATAAATCTTCTAAAATACTAGTTATCCAAATTGTAATCTGTAAAAAGCGTTAGTTTTAATGATAAGGTTTTTGAAAGGTTCCTTCCTTTGGTTTCTCAAAGGAAATAGGTATAAGAAAAATGATGAAACCTTGGACAAAATGATCAGAAATACCTACGGAAGATGGATCTAAAAGAAATAAATGAAAATGAAGCGTTTCTCAAAAGAGTTTCCTTTTATTAACGTGATTAAGACTTACTTTATTTGAAACGTCTTTATGGATTGCTTTGTACTCTGTTTTTTTACTAAACGTAAATTTTAGTAACTTCGCGATATCTCCATAAATTATTTTTGATAATCTTTCCAAACTGTAAAACGTCAAACTTTTGTTAGGAAGGTAGTTAACTACGAAGTTTAAAATAAAGTCGCTTTTTCTGTCCCTGTATCCCTATGTATGCTTAATTCTTTAAAACTACGCAAGGAATTGTTAAAGTGGTATTTGTTGGTTGCTCATGGACGGACAAAAACGATAGGTATGGACGTAGCTTGAGGTTTTATGACATAACAATAACAAAAAATAATAAAATAACAAAACATATAGAAAAAAATCCATCATGTCTGTCTCTCAGAATGGATGTAGAAAGGGGTCACGTGGAACTAAGGAGCTACTCCTCATTGATATGGTCATTAGCCAGCAGGTTCTTCGATCTCGAAAGGATTTGTCTACATGCTGGATAGATTATAAAAAGGCTTATGACTCCGTACCACATACATGGCTTATGAGGGTGCTGGAGTTGTATAAAATTAATACAACTCTGCGCACCTTCTTACAGTCATGTATGAGGCAGTGGAGCACGGTGCTTTCCTACCCAGGATGTAAGCAAATCCAAAGGAGTGAAGAACCTGTAAGAATAGTGCGAGGAATATTCCAGGGTGATAGTCTGAGCCCACTGTGGTTCTGCTTGGCCTTGAATCCTCTCAGTACTTTACTTGAGGCTTCAGGGCTGGGCTATCGTTTGCGGAGAAAAGGTCACGTTATTTCCCACTTACTTTACATGGATGACCTCAAGTTGTTTGCACCAAACAAGGAGGAGCTGATGGAAGTACTAAAAATAACAAAAAATTTTAGTAGTTCCATCAGAATGGAGTTTGGTGTTGATAAGTGTGCGGTCATGCATGTAAAGCGAGGCGGTATAGTGGAATCTGAAAGCCTAGAGCTGTCAGATTTCACAAAACTGAGATCACTCTCCGCAAATGATACCTACAAGTATTTGGGTATGTCGGAAGGATTGGGTATTAATGGGCCGCACATGAAACAATCCTTACAGGAGCGCTTCTTTGGCCGCCTGAATAAGGTACTGAAAAGTTCGTTATCAGGCGGCAACAAAGTGCGAGCCTTTAACGGTTGGGTCATGCCGGTCCTGATGTATTCTTTTGGCATACTCAAATGGACTCAGACTGAACTTGACACCCTGGATAGACGAGTCCGGACGCTGCTGACTGCAAATCGAATGCATCACCCTCGTTCATCAGTCATGAGGTTGTACATCCCGCGGAAGCGTGGGGGTCGAGGCTTTCTAAACGCTAAGACCCTTCACAACCGTGAGGTGTGCAATCTCAGAGAACATTTCCTGAAAGTGGACGAGGATATGCATCGAGAAGTAGTCACAGTGGACAAGGGATTCACACCACTATCCTTGGCTAAAGAGAACTGGTGCAAACCCGTAGTACTGAGCGTCAATGACCGCAAGGCGGTATGGAGTAGCAAGGAGCTTCACGGACGCTTTTTCCGGGCTCTCCACGGGCCCGATGTAGATTTTCTAGCGTCCGTAGCTTGGCTACGATTCAGTAACCTCTTCGGAGAAACTGAAGGATTTGTATGTGCAATTATGGACGAAGTTATCCTCACGAATAACTACCGGAAATATATTATGAAGGATGGGACGGTTGACATATGTCGGGCATGTCATAACCCCGGTGAATCCATCAGACATATTATTTCCGGCTGTGGTCGTTTGGCTAATGGCGAATACTTGCACAGACATAATCAGGTGGCCAAGATTATTCATCAGCAACTTGCTTTGAAATACCGGCTTGTTGAGTCTGAGGTTCCGTACTACAAGTATGTGCCCGACCCAGTTCTCGAAAAAGACCATATCACATTGTACTGGGATCGGTCTATCATCACAGACAGGACTATTGTAGCCAATAAGCCTGACATAGTGGTGGTAGACCGACTAGCGCGTCGCACGACGATAATCGATGTTGCCATTCCTCATGACGAGAACCTCGTGAAAGCTGAGAAAGATAAACAATTGAAATATCTTGACTTAGCTCACGAGGTTGTTGACATGTGGAGTGTGGACTCGGCTATCGTTGTGCCGATAGTTGTGTCGGCAAATGGGTTAGTCCCCAAAAGCCTCGACAACCACCTTAAGAGGCTGACGTTAGGCGGATGGATCAAGGGCCTCATACAGAAGGCAGTCCTCCTTGAAACGGCACGTATTGTGAGGAGGTTCCTGTCTCTGGAGCCCTAACTGCCGGTAGCTTGGACCTTGCTCCCGCTGCCGGCTGGCTCCTACTTTTATATTTTTAAATATTATTTTATTTTATTTTATAGTAATATTTAAAAATGTAATTTTAGAGTAATTTTAATAAATATATGGAAAAACAAAAAATAATATTTATTAATATACTAAATTACAAACTAAGTCTGTGTAGGTAAAATGCCCTAAAGTTAAATAGGGAAGCGTTTTCTGTTAATATGCTTGATTAAAGTTTCATTTTGTATGATTATTTATTTTACTCCAAAACATGCTCACATAAATATAGATAAATGTGGGCATGTAAGACATAACTAGGTATAGGTACATAGATCGGACTCACTCTGCATTCAAAGTTAAATTCATTTGTGTCGATAGTCTTTTAGAGATCCTATGTGCAAATACTATACATAAGGTTCTTGAATCCATATGACGACAAGGTTTTGAGATGTTTACATAACGGCCTTGTTTCTTTTCAGCAGACTTACAGCGTCTGTTAAAATAAAAAGTTATTGGTAGGTACCTAATTAAGAAGGGGGATCAAAGATTTATATGTAAAATATATTAAAAATGGGTAAATCAAAAGAACCTCAAACGACAAGCATGCACGAAGAAATTTAAAAACGTATAGGAAGTGTTATAAGAATGCTAGATAGAATCACTGTGCCAAAGGGTACATAACAAGAATATGTAAAAGTCCAATTGATATTACGTTTTTGATGTTGATTGGTTTCGCCGTTGAAAACAAATGATTGCTTCTGGTATTTTTACAATTGGTCGCTGATCCAGCACATGTTGTTTCAATCTTTCTACCTGGAACACCGGAATGTTATGGAAATTCAAGTGATTTTAAAAGTTTTCACAAGAAGAAATATTCAATACAGAAGGTAGGTAAGTAGGAAAATAAAGTTTCTATAGCTATTTACGCATTTACGTCTATTGTAAGAATATAGGTAGGTAAATAATCACGTACCATAAACCCCGGTAATAAATCAGATTTGTTTCTCCAAGTGTCAATACATTGCCGCTTGGTTGGCATAGCTAGCTCCGCTATTCTCATCGGGCAGTTTTTGTATTTGGAAGTTTTGGGTCTACCACGTGGACTACTAGGAATGCAATATTTGTGCGCTACTGAATAAGCAGTGGCTGTTGAATAACTGGTGCCAGCTGCCTTCGGTCGCCTCCATTGAGGCGATTTTGAGTTTGGCGAAGTTGCATTCTTCTTGTTTTTAGAGTATTTATTTTTCCTGTGAATGATTATGTTTTACAAGTGCATTGACGGTTTTTTGGAGGTTAAGGGATTTGAGGATTTGGGAAGAGAGGGTTTGTTGAGGATAACAAAAGTTTTGAAATAGGTAGCTATTTTTAAACAAGGTCAACGGTCTACGGTGACTTAACTGAGGAGGTAGGTACTTTTAAGATTTAACAAATGAATGGATGGATGGACAAAACTTTAAGTCAGAGTAAAATATTCAAGAGAAATGAAGACTACAATGTTACTTAAGTAGATACTCCCGGCATCGAGATCGAGCTATGATCTCCGCCCACTGTAAGCCTTGACCAGACCCAGACTCGAGAATATGACGCGCAGCGTACAGCGCGCGCCTCAAAGAGCCAATAAATCACCACAGACGGGCCCTACAGAGCCGATGTTCATCCAGGGTAGCGGGGATAACGGTAAGTAAGTTTTGTTTAATTTACCTACCTCAACTTTTCTTCACATTGCTTCGCAAACGATCCTAAAAAATCGATATTGGCCACACTCTGTTCATAATATTTTGATTTTGATACTGGTTTTTTTTCACGCAGTTTATTACCGAGCCATATTTCGCTTTCAACGGTCTTGTTGATCCAATCTTTTTCGAAACTTATGTCCGTATTGGCGATCCTAGAGGGATTGCGATCGGAATCCAAGCTGGTTACAACAAAAGTAGAATCTGTGAATATTTTACAAAACTAAGTAGTAGTCGTTATCGTTATAGATTAAAGGTTAAGATCACCAATTTTGCTAGTTTTTCAATAGTTACCTAAATCTTCATGTCTTAAGAAGGCCATGGAAATTTAGTGTGAGTTTCTTTCTGAGATCTTTTTAGGGTTCAACGATTAATTTAGTCTGAAAATCTTAAGATAAAAAAATACAGTCATATTTCATTAAATAATTAATAATTACTGACAGATAATTTTAGGTACCTAAATAATTGTAAATGTATGAATGGAGAATATGTCACTGCTCTGAAGTAGGTATTTTTGTATGAAAATCGAGACGGCCATGTAATATAGCAATGCTTTATTCCTCAGATTTTTTCTGTTTAGATTTAAGTGTACACCCTGCACAAACTCTGGCTGTAAGGATCTAATGCATGCGGCGGCGACCTCTCGCGTCCGGTATTAGTCGAGGCCAAGTTGCTGAGCGAGAGGAACTGGGAATTAAGCCTTTCTGCGAAGCAGTGATGATCGCAAAGGAGGAGGCGGAGCGCGATAGGGAACTTCGAAATCCTTGTCTCGCCCCAGCCACTGCAGTAGGCGAAGGAACGGGGGTTTTCAGCCAGTAAGTGTCCGACACTCCCTCTCGCCTCACCCGGAGCGGGAGAAAATTTGATGATTTTCCCCTCACAAAAAAAGGCACTAATGCATACAACAAAGTTACAATACCTACCAAGGCGCCTTAAATGTGCGTAATATGCAGATGCAGCAAGTCTATCATGCACATATTTTAGTCACAGTCTTGCCTATCTGTAAAGGCTCACCACTAAGTCCCACCTAACCAATACCTCAGAATAGTGAATACGCACTCTTCACTTATCTTTATAGGTACTCTGCATCTGAATTATGTACAACTTAATAGGTATGTATGGAACTTAACCGTTAATGATTCTTGTTGTTTGCGTGTCGGAATAATAAATAGGAAATACCTATAGTATACTTAAGAAGTATTATAGCAGTACCTGGAACTGCAAAAGTAAATTGAAAACGCGCAACTTCGGTGAATTGAAGTCCCATTGTGACTTAAAACCAGTACAGCTACTCTCAATCAATTGAAGGTAAGTCGTCATATTAGCTAAAGCTATATCGTTATTATTCATTCGGTACCGGCGTGAATAAATAAATGCTTTGCTTCTGATAGTACACCAGGACCCAGTATTCACTAGACGCTCTTCAAACACATACTTAAACTGGGAGACGGCTCTAACAAGAATATTCATAAAGAACAATCCTCTTCTTTAAAAATCCTAGACGTTACTTACTTTAAAAAATGAGATTTTCGAACGACTTCTTGATTGTCATGTTTTCTATTTCGACTGTCAGTGTCAGTGTCAACCACAGAGTACATTTTAACAATTGGTGTCAACGTTTGTTTTTGTTTGCAACAGAACTGTCAATTGTCAAGTTAACATTTACCTTCGTGGGAGAAAGACGTGTATTTTGCTTTGCGTAAACAAAATTATCGTAATAAATCCATATTTTAAATAAATTGACTCAGGGATTGTACGAGAAATAAAAAACAAAATACGCTCCTACAGAAACATTTGGGTTTTAGCGTTTTACATTTTCTAACTAGATTTTTTATGATTTTATTTGTGCGTCTTTACATAGGAAAAGTTGTAAACAAAGAATTAGTGTAATAAAAACAATGTGGTCTCATTTACAACGTGGAAGTTCACCGGTGGACTGGTGTGAATCGAATTATTCTATATCACCAGTAATTGCAGAATTTGTTAATACCGTAAGTATTATTCTAAATTTTCTATTTTTAGTTTGCCGAGCAAAGACAAAGGGTTTGCTTTCTTGGCGTGCTTACATGTTTTTTTTTACCTGTATAAGAACAGGTATATTTTACAGCGGTAATTACAATATTGACCTTGGAACATGGGTACGAAAATAAGTGTTTAAATGATGCTTGTTGTTATATGCAGTTATATGTGTTTTTGCCATGGTTTAGTCATGCTTGCCTGCTCAGAATGGTCGTTGACCCAGGCCCTCCAATTTGGCCGTCCTACCTACGCGGTGTGTCGTCTCATTTATGTGTGCAGGTATGTCATCTTAATCAAGTTTTATTTTCCAGTTTAGCAATGTCCTGTTCTTCCTTTTGCCTCCAGTCCTGATTCATCTCTTCCAAGAATATGCCAAGTTCTTCAATCCAGCGATTAATGTGTTATGGATACTGTTGATGGTAGTTGGGATCAGCTCTGCATATTTTCATGCCACACTGAGTTTAGTGGGTAAGTGGTAAAGATACTGGGTTTTATTGCTCATTCAAGAGCTAAATATTGTTGAAAATTAATTAGAAATTGTGCTTAATTTCACAATTTAATTTCAACTTTATTAACTGTTTAATAGAATTGATATTGTTAATTAACAAACATAATTTCAATAACACAAACATTGTTTTGAAAATATTGTTTCCTATAAATATCTCTCTAGGCCACATTAGATTAATCTCATAAATAATGTGTAAATGTTACATGAGATAACACCATAGTATTATATTTATAACAAAACAAAAACTTGTGGAATTGATTGCATTTCTAATTGATTCAAGTAAGAATAAAATTATGTCAAATAGGAATCAGTCTTAGTAAGTCTTATCATATTTTTAATTTTTACTACACAAAAGGGAAATATTAAAAGTAGTTGGGTGAATACCAAGGAGGTTCTAAAGTGAGTATAGAAAATATAAAATAATAATTTTAAATTTTCAGGGCAGCTTATGGATGAGTTGGCTATACTGTGGGTGTTCATAGCAGCATTTGCCATGTTCCTGCCTAAGAGATACTTTCCTACATTTTTAGATGGAAACAGGTAAGGACATAATCAAAAACAAATTGTATTACTTTAAATGTTATGAAGTTCATTAACAAACTAAGGGCCTATTTCACAATGTGTTGATAGCCATAATGTACCAGTTAAATTTGAATATAGAACATCTAAATTATCTACACTAATATTAAGAAAACTTTGTTTGTTTGATAAAAACAGGATCATAAATTACTGGACTGATTTAAAAAATCCCATGACCATGCAGTATCTGCATTATTCAAAAATAAAATCGTCTATAATATTTTATTATAAAAAAAATTGGGTTTGTGGAAAATTGGGCTTTTCGGATACAAGGTGTAAAAAATAAACAAGAATTCTAATTATTTTGCAGACACTACGGAAACTTTAAAAGGTAGAACCATAAAATGTTCTAATTTATTTTAGATGTTATAAATATTCACAAACAACTCCACGACACACCTAGCTATGTCGAGTGAGACACAACAACCATTTTTTGTTTAAAAATCTTGAAGGTTTTTGGATTGCATTTAAACGCGTTTATATTTCTCAAGCTATTAATCCTTATCAAAACGTGTTTTTTATCACTAAGTACAGTTCATATAAATAATACTTGGTCTTTGAATTAAAACTAGAAGTTGGGTTTTGAAGTTATTGTGAAATTAAAATGTTACGATTTCTGCTGTGTGTAAGGCCCGTTGCGAAATGGGCATCATAAAGGCGGTAGTGTGCGTGCGGGGTAGGGGGAGGGGAGGGGGGGGGGAGGAGATGCGTGTAACCATATGAATAAGGTAGATCGGGCTCCCTACGCAGAGAATTCTAAAAACTAAAACAACACCTACAAAAAAGTTCACCTCTCAACTTTTAACATAGTTCTTGAGCACGGGTAACAAGAGTAAGTCGTACCTATGCGAAAATCTTCACCTGAAAGTACACAACGCCTTGCTCAAGAAACTCCCAGGTACCCACACATGAGTCAAGACTGGACGTTCCCAATATCTTTATGAACAAAATATAAGGATCTCTCAGTTGCGCCAAAGCGAGTAAAGTGTCGATCTTTTGCATCGAATTTGAGCTCAGGCAGAGCGACAGCAGTTGTCCACAAATAGAGTTCTTATTCGAATAATAATTACATTTAAATATTTTCATCATTAACAACTTAATCTTCCATCCAAAGACGATCTGTGAGATTTTAGGGTTGGTGTCTGTAAATTCACCTGGGAATCATTTCTTGTTTGCTGACCAGGTAGGCTTTTTGTAGCGGAAATTGACATCCATGCAAGCAGAGCCGCGGGCGTCCTCTAGGAATTTATATGTTTGAACTTTGTACTACATAACTTCTTTCGTAATTGATGCATAAAAGTATGATTTTATTTTTATAAATGGAAAACGCCAGTTTTATCTATTTTTTTTCTCTACAAAAGTTTTAAGGCATATTTACAAAAAATAATTCTGTGGTTTATTGTTTCATTAATGATTTATCGCGTATATTTTCATATTAATTTTCCATTGACCTAGGAAATTCCCTGATTGAGTTTTAAAGCGTATCATTTAAAAATATCTTATCAGAGTTTGTAGCATAAAATTCTATTGATAATATTAAAACTTGAATCTAACAAATAAGCAACTGAGATGTTTGTGTGTGCCAGTGCACCTGATATCTGTTTGTTTACTAAGTAAATACTGTCAAGTCTTTATGGAACAGCTGTGTAAATAAAAATATATCTATGTATAACAAAACTTCTACAAGCACAGATAGACATGCATACTGTATCATAAAAAATATGGGTCCTAGTCTGTATCATACTGAATTCTTCTCAATCATCCCAGAAGTCTTTCCTTATCCACACATAAAGATACCTATATTAACATCATAATGTTATAACATACAAAATACAAGTCCTTCTATCGTGATTTGTTTTACTGTTCCCTCATATTATTACGTGCTAGTCGCAAGCAATGACGATATAACCACCGTGTATCCTCTTTGGTCGCAAGTTTCGTTTGAATTTTTTATTTTTTCAATTGTGGACGTTATCCTTGAAGTTTGGTACGAGTGCGTAGCCAACCTATATTTTTCCTTTAAATATTAGGGTTTTGGAGATTTAGAGATAGGAAAGGGGTGGGAAGTAGGAAGGTAATCGTTGGGGTTCCGGTAACGTCAAACCGGTAAAACACAACACAGTAGGTACTACTTATTTATTTCACGCCGGTTTTCTGTGAGACCGTGGTTTTGAATTATCGATGACTTAGATCTCGTCCCTTCTCGAAATTCGATGACTCAGAAAAAGGTCGACAAATAATTGCAACACCAACGATAAATCTGTCCTAAATCGGTATTCATACTTTTATTTGGTAAACTAGCAGTCCGTTTTACCCCTTCCCGATTTCCCCCTTTAATTTACAAAAAATATTATTAATTATATACTTACCTATATTCCTTTATTTGGGAGGTAAAAATAAAAGGTACCGCCGCCTAGTTTTTAGTCAGTATTAAGAATCTGACACTCACTCTCGCCTCACCCTGAGGCGAGAGAAGTCATTTGATGGTTTTCCCTTCACGAAAAAGGCTCTAAACATATCGAGACTCATTACATTACATAAATCCATTTCTCCTGATGATGAGAATGCTTTTCTGCTATTTTACAAATAGAATAAGCCTTTCATTAGATAACCAGTGTCATCAGTAGGCAAGCAGTTATTTATTTAATTTCCCGAACAATACAATGACTCATCTAACGTTTAGTCTCACGTACCGGTTGTGGCGATGTGCATGTGTGATAACAATATTTACTTACAGACAGCTTGCACGCCATTAGTACTGCTACCACCTACTTCGAAAGCAATTACCTAAGCATTTCAATACGTGTTATTAGAAGGTTAGGGTACTTAATACTGCGTAGTTATAAATACGCTTTGTAGTAGGAAGGTACGAGGCCCTCCATTGTTATAATAAAATATAAAAGAATACTTAATATCACCATAGCGCCCTGAAATACATTATTAATACTGGGTTGTTCCAGAATTCACTTAGACGTATCTTCGGGTCTATCTTTCCTATGGCCCTGTATGAAAAATGGGGATATTTTATCCTCAAAGTACTCATAAAAACCATTTCAGTTTTTCTGTGTTGAGAAGTGGGAAAGGGCACTTGTTGTTATGGAGAACTATCTAATCTGTGCTTGTATTTAGTATTGGGGTTATGCCTATCTCTTCTCTTTGATAAGTTCGATATGGCCGAAATAATGCCCTTGGCGATTTGATTCCTAATATCGATATATTACTTAGTTTATTGTAGCTTGAACTGATGATAATATTAGTGCGCAATAGAGGTTCTAGGTATCACATAGGTACAATGTGGCCATGAAGTTTGGGGAGCTACTTGATTAGAGTGTTACTTCCTTGTTTATAAAATCGAGCTGAGGCACTTAACTTTTCTTAGCATAAATTAACAAACTGTACTAAAATTAGGTAATTACTATGTGAATTTGTTAATTAGAACTTGGTATAATACACATGATGGTCCACTTTTAGCGCCTATTGCGCCATTACCAGCGTCATGGAAGTTTCAAAATTGCATTTCCATTTACATTTACTTGGTAATGGGGTTCTTAATGACTATTGCATCGAGTTGCGTCGTATGAACATAGGTAGTAGCTGTTTTAATAACAAACATATTATGATTTCGTTTTTCTGCCCGCGACGATCTACAACAATAGAGAACAATATGAGTCTGTATTAGGTACTTTCCAGTTTGTTTTTAAATGGAAAACGCTAGAAATCAAGAGTAAAGGGCCATAAGAGCTGGTCTAGCAAAAAATTCGTAGAGTTCGGCTGATCCTGGTCACAGTTACCACTCACCAACGTTAGGTATAGGTACCTACATACTTGCCTTATTGTAACCGGATAATTTGACCTAATTCAATGTGTAAAGGCCTAGGGTCAAGTGGGTTCTTCCTGCTACATGTGTAAGTATGATTGGTTTAGTGTGTGTGTAGATATGACTTAGGCAATCTTTTATCTACTTCCGATAAAGTACGTGCACTAAAATCCCATTTTATCTAGTTAGTACGCCCAAACCAAGCAACGTCCAAATTTTAGCTTTCCATTTACCTAGTTATAATTCTGCACTAGTTAGGTACCTATAGTCTGCGAATTTAATATTTTACGTATCTTTAACATGTAGGTTGAAACGTTTTACAAGGTTATAGTTTAGTAATTTGCTGCAGATGTAGGTTAATCATAAATAAACTACATTAATGTTTGCGTGACCAAGCCAAATACCAAGCTGACCGGTGACGTTGCGAGTGTTTCTTTTGTTGTTTGTTTTGATACGAATTAGTTAGGTATTTCAACACTTTGTATATTATTTGTAAGGCTTTATATGATCATCGCTGGACGATCTAAATTATGCTATATACTGTTTATTAATAAAGTTCACTTCTTCTTATTTAGAGTCCATTTTCAGGGACGAAGATCTGGACAGCTTTTAAAAGCCCTACCTAGGTACTTCCATGAATTTACAGCCCCATTGCTGTTTCATACAAAATTACTTCCCCGGTTTTGTCATTACCATGTTGTTTAACCTTTAAATCGTGGTGATTCGAGGCGCAATAGAATGACAATAGGTGCGCGGACACCGGCGTTTGCTTGGGGTTTGATGAAATAAATTTAGTAGGAAATCGTTTAAGAGCGGATAGGTATTTTGCATTTTTTAGAAAATTTAGCCCAATGATATACCTAGACTTGTTTAAGGGCTATCGTTCTCCTACTCAATAGATTCCGATTATGTAGGCTTTGTTTGTTGATATACTTCCTACCTATAGTAGTGCGATGCCGGCGGTGTTTCAGGTGTACCTACATACATAAATACTATGACCACTTATTACCTTGAGGGGGCATTCGGTACAAACGTACTGAATGTACCTAACTGTTTAACCAGTTTAACCTAGAAGTTGCCGTGCACGAGTCATCGACAAATTAATTTGAAGTGTAGCTGTACCGTTAGGCTGCTCAAATGATACCAAAATGTAAGAGAAGCAATATGTTGATGTGTTAGGAATTCAAGCAAAGCGTTAATCGATAAGAAACACTAAAATGTGGGTGATATTTTTGTTAGTAGGTCGTTAGTTACGCACAACCTTATCGGCTTCAACTTTAGCCATTGGTTCCGTCCGCTGTAGTTATTGTGTTGGATTTTTTTTTATTTTGCTGCGCTAGGAATAGATGGTAGATATAATAAATTGTTAATCTTATATTACGACTGCACGGCTGGCGCAGTACCTGAGCAACAGGCTGCTGTCCTATATACAACGTGTCGCCTTTTCGATTCCTACACGGAACAACACTTTGTGTGATCCACAAATTGTTGTTTCGGGACTGGGTGGCTTGTGTATGTGAATCTGTATGTTTGTAAACGAACTACAGGAAAAAAAATCAATGGAGTGTAAACAAAACTGCATTAAAATTTCAATCTTCTTTGTCCTTTAAAAATACAGAATGATTTATAGGATCACGTAGGTATTCTGTTGTTGAGATTACCTATTATTGCCTAGACTAGAGGGAGTAACATAGGAAAATAAACGAATTATATTTCCAGACGTCGCCTGGCCATTTACTCCGCCATTACGTCGGTACTACTGACAGTCTTCCTAGTCATGCACCCAGCAGCTAACGCTTTCGCCTTGATGACACTCGCGCTGCCGACTCTTGGATTCCTCTATGGCGAATTGGTTAAGTAAGTACTTACTGGTTTATATCAGCTCGTAAACTGTTCTGCTGCGGAACAAAGAAATGTGTTATGAATATGCCTTCTGGTACATCGAACAATTTATTTATTTATTTAATATGTGTGATCAGCGTTATCCAATATGTAGATATCTACAGCCAGGGTAGCGAGGCAAGCACAATAATGTACCGCTACCTCTTCAGAATATAAGAGTCTGACACTCTCGCCCTGCTCAAGTCGTGAAGAGTGAAGTCATAATACCTAATATGATGCTTTTCCGCCTTCAGAAAAGAGTCACGTAATTTAATTCGACTGCACGGTGGGCGCACTGGCTGGGCAACTGGCTGCCGCGCAACGTGTTGCGGGTTCGATTCCCGTACGGAACAAGCCTTTGTGTAATCCACAATTTGTTGTTCCGGGACTGGGTGTGATGTGTATGTGAAATTGTATATTTGTAAACGCACCCACGACAAAGGGGAATACCACCCGTGTTGCCAGTGTTTTTTTTTTAAAAAAACAATAACTAGCTTCCTCACAGGCTATCTACCTAGACTACCTACCTTTACCTATTCAATATTTTTTTACCATATCTAATATTTTGGTTAGGTAGGTACTTAACTTTGCCTTGTAGGTAAATATATCTACATTTAGTATTATATATAAGTATATATTATGTATCTATATGTGTTAAGGTGGTATTAGGGATTTCCTAATAAAACACGTGTCAACTATGTATCTGTAAACGATAATGCGCTATCATTACTATCATGTTAAAATTTAATATATTTAATCTAAGTACCAAATCTAATAAAATTTTGTTTGTTTGTCCTTGTTTTACGGTAAAACCGATTTACAGATTAAAAATATTACATTTCTTTGAAACAAACATGGGCCTTTATTATATCAATATTTAATCGCCATTAGGTCGAAGTGGTTAAAGCGCCGACTTTTCACGCATTTTTTCATGTGACTTTCCGAGTTATAGGTATGTAGATAGTAAGTACTATCTAAGATTAAGTATTTAGACACCACAACAACACATACGGCGAAGGAAAACATCGTGAGGAAATCTGGACTTGTAGTTTTAATCATAAGTATGAAATCACAAATTCGCTTTGAGCAAGCCTGGTGATTAATGCTCAAACCTTCTCCATGTGAGATGTCTTTACCCAGCAGTGGGCACTTGTAGGCTGATGATGTGATGTGAATCACCATTATGTACCAGTTGCTTTTATGTTAATTGCAACATTGTTTTTTAATGTTTTCAGAGTGAAGTGCTCACGTGTATACCGCCTAGGTCTGCGCTGCGTCGCCGTCAGTCTGCTGGCAATATTCTGCTGGGTCATAGACCGCATGTTCTGCGACGCGTGGCTCTCTATCGACTTCCCGTACATGCATGGAGTTTGGCACGTCCTCATCTTCATCGCAAGCTACACTGCTCTCGTACTATTCGCCTATTTCAACGCCACTGAGGAGAGCCCTGAACAGAAACCTCAGCTAAAATACTGGCCAGTCAACGAATTCGAACTAGGCATACCATATGTTACCATGAAACATCCCTTCAAAACAGACAAAAATCTAGCAATCTAGTCATTTCACAACTGTTAACTAGACCTGGATCTATTTACTGACAGTTTTCCGAAGGCTGAGTTATCTTTGATTTGAACTTTGTATGGTCGATGCACTTATCATGTATCTATGTATTACTTATCAGTTGATAAAATTTGTGTATCTGTGTACATAACGTGTAGGAACATATCTATAAGTGGTCTTTTCAATTGCGCCAAATATATATTTTTTCTAGTTTTATGATGACAATGAAATGTCTATGAAGTAACAATTTGAAATTGTTACAATGTATTGTACAAGTGAAGTAAATTACGTCCCAAAATGGGCTCGAGTTCATTAGAATTAGTTATTTAGGTACTTTAAAGTCTTTTCTTAGTCTGATTCAAAATCTACTTATTTCTAGTGAGTATCTACTAATTGACTTGCTATATTGAGTATGAACTGTGACGCGATGGTTTTATTTATTTATTATTTTATTGATTTTATTATGTTGCTATAAAGTTTATAGATTTTTTTTTATTTTTACTTTTTAATATAATATAAAAATTCTAATAAGGTTTGAGTATTCCATATTTATCTAATAGATTTTATTTTATATGCGATGAGCAGGAAATGTTTGGATAGCAACCTAGTAAACAGCAGTAGTAGTAGAACCTTTAATACATATTTACTTAAAACAATGTGATGTCAAATATATCTGAGATATTATTGTAGGATAGATTAGTATGTGTGTAGCTACTTATTTTGTATACAGTTATAATATACATTTTACAGCGGGTAGTACAAAATAATACTAGTTAACAATGAATGAATGATTCAAATTTTCCTCTTTTATAGTTTGTTTGGAACCCAGCTTACATTATATTTCTGAGTTACATTAGAATTATGATTCTTAGAATGTTTTATACTTGATGATATGTCATATGTTTCTGTTTAAAATACCCCTTGTATTTACTGAAATACATAGGGCCCTGGGGCCTCTCTAACTAGATAGACCCGTACGGCCTTATTACAAAACAAGGTTTTACTTTAGTCTAGGACTAAACCATTGAGCCTGTTTTTGTTTTTCGAATTGAAGATAGATGACAATAAGATTCAAAATTCAAAACCCGACTCAATGGTGTAAACCTGGACTAAAGATAAATCTTGTTTTGTATTAAGGGGGTCATTGTTCCCAAGGCTGATAAAATTGGCTGGATTTGCTTTTTGATTAGTTGTTATGCCAATCTTGTGCACAGTTTGCAACTAATATTAAAATTTATTTTGTGCAATCCGTTTAAGTATTATTAGGTGTCAGTAATTTTATTGGTATGATTATTTAAAAATTTATTACTTTAGCACTTATCGCTGTTTTGTTGAGTTGCGACATTTATTTGCAGATCGACTTAAAATTTCATAAATCTACATGCCAGAATTTGATGAAAAATCACACTAAAATACATAATACTACACAATTATTTAAAAAAAATATCTTAACATCAAATATGCTTAAAAAAGTTTTGTTGTTATGATTATTGGATAAGAAATAATTATAATGAAGTGTAACATTAAAACTTTAGATTAAAAAAATTGCTGTTCAAGAGTATTTTTAGTACTGGTATTAATTAGGATCAAGTTGCTCCCCTTCACCATAGATAGGATATGTGATATAGAAGTCTGATAAATGTCTTAGGTTGACCAGTGTATGACAGTTGACATATGTGACATACAAAAAGACAAATTGTTTTGTAAAAGCTCATAAGTATTGGTTTTAAGTACCATGTGATTAACAAATGTTAAATTTTAAAAATGTGATGATGGAATATAATAAATTTATGTTATATATGTATTTTTTTTCTTAAACCCTATTGTAAATGAAACACACAAATATATTAAGCTGGAATGTTTAATTAATAACATGATTATAAATTCAGATCCATAAATATTGTCAATAACATTTTTAATACAAAATAAAATATATTTAGGTCATTATAAATTGAGTAAAAATTAGTCAGAGTCGGAAGATACATTGTGTTGGACATTGGGATGTACCTTGGATGCATCAAACTTCTTCCTTGGATAGGTGCTTCCTCCACGGTAAACAATGTGGTTCTTCTCAGTCTCTAATATCTTAACTTCATGGAGTAACTGTGGCTTCTCCATCACACTCACAAGTCTATCCCAAATGTAAATAGCCAGATTCTCAGTTGTGCTTACCTATAACAGAATTACATAACCATTATTCTAATAGGAAATCAATTATAATCAATTGTAAAAAGATCAAAGATCATAGTAAAAAAAGATACTCAATTAAAATATTTAGAGAACTGTTATAAGTTAGATAACCTCTTGCCCTTATTGTTACACAACTTTAGACAATAATGTGTAGGTAATTAAATACTAATTTGAGTTTATAACTTGTGTAATGTTTGGTCTGATTAATTATTATGAAGATTGTAATTACCACATTCTTGAAGTATGGAACATCTTTGTCCAAGTTTTTGTGGTCAAGAGGGTCCATGATGGCAATCTTTATGTACTCCTTGAGGTCATGTACATTCATCACCATACCAGTAGCTGGGTCTACAGGACCTTTGACTGTCACCAAAACTATAATAGAAAAAAATATGAGCTGTATATTAATTCTGTCTAAAAGTTTTTAGTGCTATATGCATTCTATTTTATAATAGAAGGTGAAAGGAATATCATTGGGATTGCAGGGCAAGCTCAGTAATGTACTGCAGCCTTGGCCTGGAGCAGGACTAGCCAGTAAGAGTTGGACACTTTCTGTCACCCTACCCAGTGTGGGAGAAGAAATTTGATGATCTTCCTCCCTCAAAAAAAGTTGACTTACCAACATAATTGTGTCCATGCCCATTTGGATTGTTGCATTTTCCAAAAATCTTTTTATTTTCTTCATCAGATAAAACTGGGCTGCAAAAGAAATTGTTTCTTATTAGAATCAATTAGTTACTTACTACATATAAGAGGCTCTTTATTAAAATCAATGAATGGTAGATATTGAATTCAGGGATTGATAACCTCGGGGATCAAGGATCAGTCAATTCCTGTAATTAATTTACTCGCGTTGCAATTACTTGGCAATTTCATCATACTAACTTGTTGCATGGCTGTGCAATTCAGCTCATGTTGCTACCTATGAAGAAATTCCTGTACGTAGATCAAATTACTGCAAGCAATGCATTTTGTAAATTCCTCCTTACCTGTGCAATCTGTGACAGGCACTAAAAGTTTCACGCCGGGTGATAGATACTATCGGTAATGGGGTTGGAGTCATTTTTTAAATTAAATATATTTATTCCAAATATAAACAAAATATTACAAGTTTGGCAACCACTCTATCTAACAGCCAACTGAATACTGAAAGTTAAAATGTCGATGTAAAATAGTAGTTACTTTGTTAAAACTTGGTCAAACTTGTACTTACTACGAAAAAAAAACACGAAAACAAGTACCTATTTTCAAAGTTTATATTGATCGAACTGACAATGTCAATGTCAAATTAGTTTTTGACAGATGACAAATATGATACAATAGAGTTTGATAGAATACTAAGACTTTAGCAAGATTTTTATAATTTTAGTTTAGTTAGGTACAATTCTAATAGGTAGTTATTTTAGTTTACTTATATTAAATTAAATTGTATACTTATTTCTTTCTTTCGAGAACAGTAATTTTCTTAGAAAGAATATGTTTCATACATTATTTGGCATTTGTAATGTCAATGTCTAAGTCAAACGCGTCGACGTATCTGAAAGATTATTATATCTATGTCTAACGAAGTAAAGTACAGTGAATTGGACTTTGTAACCTTTTAGAAAAATTGTAAATAGTGTAATTTTAAGTTAGGAAGTGAAAAACTACGAAACTCTCTTGTCAAAAATGTTTTCTCCAAGCAGCAGGCACTTGCTCTTTTCAACGCAGGTAGGTTTTGTTTCTATTCTTTACCTTGCATTATCTACACATCAACGAAGTAATTTTCCTACGGTTTTGTTATGTTCCACTACATCACATTATTATATTCGGTATTACGATTAACGTTTTAGTCTAAGAATACTATGGACGGGCTTCCACTTGCTACTAACCACAATGTATCAAAACTTTTTTCAACTGTTTTTCTTATCATTAAGTTACCTCTAACAGCAATCAGCATGTATAGTTTAAGTTCTTATTTCAAAAAACATCTATTGTTTTTTATCTGAGTAACATAACTGACAGACAGGTATTACTCTAATGAAATGAAGTTTGTTGTTTGCCTTCATAAAAAATCTTAAAAAAGAAACAGTCATAAAACAAACCTCTTTGAATATGTCAGTAAATAATGAGTAAAAATGTTGGCAGTTTATAAGGTTTTGACTGGTTATTTACTCTCTGGATTATCAATAACTCAGTATTTACTATGTTGTCTTACAGTTGAGGCGTCTTCAGAGCACTTTAGTAGTTGCAGAGCACAACAATGAAGTTTTGTCGCCAGCCACACAAAACACTTTGAGTGCTGCCAAGAAGATTGGTGGAGATGTAGCTGTATTGGTAGCAGGCACCAAATGTGGACCAGTAAGTACAAATTAAAAAAAGAATCATAAATGCCCTACATGTAGGTAGTTTAATATTTAAGTTAATGTTCAGTGATTAATATTATAATACGTATTTTCTATTTCCAGGCAGCCCAAGCGGTAGCTAAAGCAAATGGGATTTCCAAAGTGCTAGTAGCTGAAAGTGATGCATTCAAGGGTCTTACTCCAGAGACTCTGACACCTCTTATCTTGGCTAGTCAGAAACAGTTCAACTTCACCCACATTCTGGCCCCAGCCACTGCTTTTGGCAAAGCTCTTCTACCCAGAGTAGCTGCCAAACTTGATGTTTCACCCATCACTGACATCATTGGTGTCAAGGATGCCAATACCTTTATCAGAACTATTTACGCAGGTAACATAATTGAATTAAACATGTTTGAGCTATTTACATAGTTGTAAAAATTTGAATTATAATACTGTACCTATTTTGCATAGAATCTACTGCTTGCTTGGCCTTGTTATTCATTCACTGTTTATTGCATGTTATTGTTATGAACAGATAAGTTTACACCCTTTGTGACACAAAAACGAGATTAAGATAGACATTGAAATATTTATTTAACTCTTACAGGTAATGCAATCCTCACATTGGAAGCCAAGGATGCTATCAAAGTGATTACTGTCCGTAGCACAGCATTTCCTCCAGAACCTCTAGAAGGTGGCTCTGCGGCTGTAGACAAGGCACCAGAGGGTGACTACAAGACTGACCTTGTACAGTTTGTCTCCCAGGAACTCGCCAAGTCTGACCGACCTGAACTTACCAGTGCCAAGAACATTGTTGCTGGAGGTAAGAACACTATTTCATGTATTTTGTACCTACTTGTTTCCCATAGTAACATATTTTTGGAGTCATTGCCAAATTTT